TCAAAATAATTATATAAATTAATCCCAGTTTGCCTTAGTACAAATTTTCAGGTACACAAGAATTAACTAAGGCGAAATGGGAGCTTCTGTAAACATTGTAATTAAGTTATGTTTTGTTTGTATTGCAATAAGTTGATATTTGTTATTTTGATGTCAAATTCTACCATGAAATATTTTTTAAAAGAAGATATTTTTTTTTTATTTTTGGTGTCCCACTTTTTAAATAATTCTTTTTTATAGTTGCTCTTCCTTTTCTGAAATTTTTTTTTATTCATGTGTTATATTTTGTAAATAAAGTCTTATTAGAGATGACAAATTGGATATGGATATTCCATATTTTAATGAATAAATAAAGATAATTATCATACTATCATAACAAATATTTTATTTCTGAATCAGCACTGAATTCAAAGCACAATTTTAAATTAGCATACTAATAGAGAAAATGTACATTTTATAAATAATAGCATGAGAAAAAAGCACTAATACATAAAACATAAGAATTATTTCCATATAGTTCATATTGTGAAAAACAAGGCACTGATGTACACATTTGAATGTTCAAAGTTCATTTTGTTTCCAAGTTTGAGGATGTAAGATGCTGCATCACCATACTGAATATAGTCAGTTGTACCATTGTGTAGGGTTTCCTTCAAAGTGGTGAATCTTTCTTCTATTTCTCTATACTTCTTTGCTTTTCTCCTCATCTTGCCACCTGCTGCATACTGTACTTTCTTTACCTCGTTAGCTGCTTGCTCTTTCTTGAACACATTGATAATTTCAAATATGTTTTTTTTTGTCGGGACAAGAAAAGGGGTGGGCTTATCTCGCCCTGTTAACACAAAGATAACAAAGGATATTTACGGGGGGTTTGCATGGGCTTATTATCGCCTTTATTCTATATAAATATTTATTATTTTATTAAAGTTTCTGTAATATATGTAAACCAGGTTATGGGAATACATTTTTTTTCTTTCTTTTTAACTTTTTGTGTTGCACAATGTAAAGGATAATTGAATTATTAAGAATTTTCTAATTGCATAAAATTTATACAATTGAAACTTATATTAAATTAAGCATAAAAGAAGCAACTTTCCTACTGACTAATGTTTAATTGTAGATTTTTTTCTGATTTCACAACTTTTGAAATCATAAAAATGGTCACTTTTATTAAAAATAATAATTCATGAGAAACAATTCCCTACTTAAATGTTGTTAAAATTGCTATAAAAACACAGAGGTTTAATTTGTTTATTTAATATTTTTATCTAATTTCACATTTCGCCTTAGTTCAATTCCCATCTGGCCTTAGTATATTTTTGGAATTTCTTTAAAACAAAAACAACAGAAAGTATCCAAAAGCATATACCAACTAAGCTAATAGGTAATTAAACCCACCTACCATGGATAGATTCAAAATTGAAAAAACTTATAAATAAGAAAAACAAATTATATAAAAATTATTATTATTATTATTATTTATTTATTATTACAATTTTTCTATAGCGCTAAATCTAAAACAATATTACTCAAAGCGCTTTACATCACATGTTAAACGAAATATACACACAGACAGTGATAAAAATATAAAACATGAACACACAAAATAAATATTTAAGTGTTAAAACTTTTCTAGATAAAAGGATTAATAATGTGGAAATTTTTACAAAAAAGTGGAATATATATATCAATGAATCAAAATAAAATTATACTGAATAAAGTTGGTAAAATAAATAGCCAAAAAAGTCTAAAATAAGATTGCTATTATAAATTATCAAATATAAGTTAAAAATTTGAAAACATATTCAAAAGATGAAAAAGGAATATTACCATGTAAAAATATAATTACTGAAATGAAAAATATGTGTGCTACTAAAAACATACAATGTACATATTATAAATGAAACATATCTCCAGTTAAAAGAAAGGTTCGATAAATCAAAAGCAGGTTAACGTCTATGGCACAATGTATCACAGAAACGAATTTAAGGGATTAAAAATGCTTGTCGAAAAAAGTGAGTTTTTAAGTTCTTTTTGAATACAGGCACCGACTTTGCATTTTGAAGTTTTTTTGGTAATGCATTCCAAAGGATGGCCGCTGCTTGATCAAATCTTCTATTGCCGTAGGTTTTGGTTCGCACAGTAGGAGTTACGAGTGTTAAGTTGTTTTCAGACCTTAATGATCTTGATGGCCTGTATAAATTTACAAGTTCACTAAGATATAATGGCGCTTCATGTTTCACGGACTTGAATACATATAATAATATTTTGTATTGCACCCTGTATTGCACAGGCAGCCAGTGAAGAGACTCCGAAGTGTCGAAGTAATGTGTTCGTATTTCTTTTTTCTTGTAACCACTCGCGCAGCAGTGTTCTGAACCCTTTGTAGAAAGAAAAAACATGATAGCAAACATATTAAAAAGTTCAAACAAATTAAAACACAATTACAGAAAGAGATGAGAAATGCCTATTGGAATTATATCGAAAACATGATTTTTGACATTGAAATACAAGAGCCTGAAAATCCGAAATTTAACAAACAACCTAAAAAAACTCTTTTCATACATAAAAGGCCAAAACAATGAAAACACTGGTATTGCACCTCTTAGGAGTGAAGGTTTACTTTATACAGATCCCTTGAAAAAAGCTAATATATTAAACGAACAATTTAAATCAGCTATTACATCTGAGACTAATACAGTAATCACTGACAAAGGTCCATCAAAACATCCAATAATGGACAACATAGACATCAACAGAGAAGGCATCTTTAAATTAATTAAAAATATAAATCCAAAAAAGGCAACAGGACCAGATAACATTACTGGAATAGTGCTAAAAGAAAACATCAACACATGCACAGACATACTCACTCTAATTTTTACAAAATCAATGCAAACAGGAAAAGTACCTCACGATTGGAACCACGCAAATGTAACACCTGTTTTCAAAAAAGGAGACAAACATCATCCTGGTAACTATCGTCCAATTTCATTAACATGTATTTCCTGCAAATTATTAGAGCACATAATTGCAAGCAACATCATGAAACACCTTGAATCCAACAACATACTTTATGACTTGCAACACGGCTTCAGGGCAAATAGATCATGTGAATCCCAAATAATATCACTAATTCACTAGCTGTGTTCAAATAACGACAAAAACATACAAACCGATCTAATCATCATGGATTTCGCAAAAGCCTTTGACAAAGTTCCACACAACCGTTTACTATATAAACTTAAATTTTTCGGTGTATCAGATCAAGCTACAAACTGGATAAAATCTTTCCTTTCAAATCGTTCACAAACAGTCATGCTAGAAAACCATTCCTCTGACAACATACCAGTTACATCAGTCAGGTGTTCCTCAGGGCACTGTATTAGGTCCAATACTATTTTTAATATACATTAATGACTTACCTGACTATTTACATCACAGTCAAATCAGGCTCTTTGCTGACGATAGCATCATTTACCGACAGATAAAATCAACATCAGATTGCCTTAAACTCCAGGAAGACCTAGAAGGGGCAATCAAATGGGAACAAGACTGGCTAATGCACCTTGACAAATGCAACATACTTCGAGTGACCACAAAGAAAACACCTATCCATTTTTATTATAACATGCACGGTCACATTCTTGAGTCAGTTGAAAATGCAAAATATTTAGGTATAACTATATCATCAAATTTAAAATGGAACAAATACATTCAGAACATGACATCGAAAGCAAATAAGACCCTTGGATTCATCAGAAGAAATTTAAAATAAACTCAGTAACCATCAAAGACCGAGCATACCAAGCCCTTATTAGACCAAAACTTGAATACTGCTGCACTGTCTGGGACCCTTACACAACAGAGAACATTAACTCCATAGAAAAAGTCCAAAGACGAGCAGCGAGATATGTATGCTCCAACTACAAATATACTGAAATTGTAACAAACATGATTAACACACTTCACTGGCCAACATTACAAGAAAGGAGACTCAAAAGCAGATTAAATATGTTCCATAGAATAACAAACAACAAAATTGCCATACCACATACTGACTTACTAATTAAAAGCAAATCAAACACCAGGTCTAGCCACGAACAAACATACCGACAAATTCGATGCAGCAAAGACAGTTACAAATTTTCATTTTTCTGCCAAACTATAAAAGACTGGAACAAATTACCTGAACCAATAGCCTGCAGCAACACTACTGAGTGCTTCAAGGAGAAACTCACTAGAGAGATGCTCCTTGACACTTACAAACACCTACATGTTTAATATGTATCTTGTTTTTATCTTATGCCAAAAATTAAAAATAAAAATTGAAAAATATTACTTACATATACTTGTTTATATAAAAATTGAAAAATTATTATGAAATCAAAATATATTTTTAATCATTAACAATATTGTTAAACCAGGCATGCGCCAGAAAGTAATCATCAACCAGTTGATGTTTTTCTGTATATCATTGAAAGAAGAAGACTAATAGGAAATACGTAAAAAATTGAAAAATATTGATTAAAAAAATTGAATGTGCTAACAGAGTCCCTGTGGAAAAAGACTTCCGTATTTTGCTATTTTAATTAATAACGGACACATGTCATGCATGTACAGGGACTCCGTAAATGGAATATTTACAGTCTATTTTTACCGACTGTTGTAAAGTACCACACAACGTTTACTGCTAAATCTGAACGATTATAAGGTATCCGTAAGACACAACATTAAATCGATTCATTGGGATTGTGTAAACATCCTAAATGTAATACTGAAAATCGCACATTGATAATAAACGTTTAAATCTTGGTGATTCGGGTAAAAATTAAAATAAAAATATATAGGAAATAAGACAAAAATACAATGTTTTAAAGTGCATGTGCACTGGAATATGTGCACTTGAATAGTTATCTAAAGGAACAGAAAAATCCTACTTCCCCTCTATGATTAACACGAGAAAATGGACTAGCTCAATGACTGAAGGGTGACCTGACCGCATTTATATGTAAACAAGTTCAGCATCATGGCCACGTTGTTGAGCAGGGATGTGCAAGATATAGAGGTAGGACTGAATTGACAATACATACAGCAATATAAATATATTCATATTGTAACATTCTTTCGTTTATTTTAACGTTTATTTGCACGCACGGACTTCATAGTTAAATGCGTTTACTTCTTGGACACAACTGACCCAGATGATGGACATTATATCAGTGTTTGCATAATCTTAAAATGATTTGACATTGAAACAGCAACCCATGAATACAAATGAACCAAAATTGGTCACGCTTTTTAATGGACTAGCCCTGGGAAGAATAGATTATGTCATAGACTAACCTTACATATTTATTTTTTTAACCAGTCATATGAAATTGATCCCTTTTCGATAGATATTGCATTCTGTATTCTGTAGCCAATATAGGCACACCTTCAGTATGATTGATTTTGCAAAGATTGATTGTGTAATATTTATGTCAGATAAAATGGGCAACCAAACTCAAATCTCAAAACTGGGTTAAAATTAAAGAAACATTAACCAAACCACCAGGAATAAATCTTAAATGAAGTGCTTGGTACAGAATAGGGCCATTTACTGATATATATTTACTGCATAAACAAGTCTCCAAACAAAAATATTTATTGTGTAAAATACTAAATTGTAAACCATATTTTCAATTCATTCTGATAAATACAGTCAATATGAAAAACAGAAATATATATATATATATACATGCAGAACAATGAAAATACTGAAAACATAAAATGCAGAATAAAAGTAGCAAAATATAATGTATATTAATGATTTGTTGGTGCAAACTCATTAAAAATAAATGGTTTATATAAAAATAAGAAGTTGTGGTATAATTGCCAATGAGACAACTCTCCACCAGAGACCAAATGACATTGAAGTTTAACAACTATAGGTCACTGTACGGTCTTCAACAATAAGCAAAACCCATACCGCATAGTCCGCTATAAAAGGCCCTAAAATGACAATTAAATGTAAAACAATTCAAACGCCTGATTTATGTACAAATTAATAAACGAAAAAACAAATATGATATACAACAACAAACGACAACCACTGAATTACAGGCTCCTGACTTGGGACAGGCACACACAGAATGTGGCTGGATGAAACTAGTTTGAAGGCGCCAACCCTCCCCTAACCTGGGACAGTGGTGTAACAGTGCAACATAAGAACAAACTATAAAAATCAGTTGAAAAGGGCTTAATTTAACTCATCAGATCATACAAAGCAGATATACATCTAACAAAAAAACAGACTGGACGTGGCAGGGTACTTATACATCCCAACAACAAAAAAAACATTCAAGTACAGATCTGAGACAGAGAGTACTCGCAGTTACTGATAGCTACAATGTAGTTCAAACCCAATAACAACTTACGACTTATTGTATATATATATATATATGAATCTTTCCTTTTTAACAAGATAGTTTGTTTCATTATTATATATTATACTCATTTGACTTTGGATTGGCAGCTTATTTTTGAAAATACATGTAAACTGAAGAAAATTAATATATTTTATCAGTATTATATATTGTCTCATCGTGATATAACACATATGCTTTTGAGCATGCATAGACAGTGGACCTTGGATATGCATTTAAACTACATGTATGTATCTAATTAAACAAAGTCAAGATGAAGCTGAGGAAGAGAATTGTGGTTAATAAAATAGAGTTGTATGTGTCCAGCTTTCTCTATGTAGGGATGTCAGTTGAAGTAACTGTTTCATTCTGAACAGTGGTAAAGAATGCAATCAATACATTTTTCTAAGCTGAGCAATCTGGTATTGCATGTCTGATTATCTGGCTTGGTTCAACGTCTCTAAAATCAAGAATTCTTTGTACTCTTTGGCAATGACCTAAGGTTATTTGCAATTTAGTGCACCTTTGGTGATATACACTTTTTTCCCCTTTTCTAACATGTCTATGGCTTGTACAAATAAATTTATATTTATTTTTCTACAATTTATGCATAGAACCTATATTAAATGCAATTAAACTCTTACGTATGTCATGTATGTAGGCTTAAACGTTTACAACGTTCAGTTTTTACTTCCCAATATTTGTCTTTAAATTTAATGAAATCAACAATTTGCTTAACCGCAGAACCTGTATAAAATTCAAAGGGACTGTGATGTTAACAGTAATATTTATATACAAGTTCACTCAGCAGTAGGACAACATCATTAATTTAACGTGTTAGACATTTATAACAGTTATAAGACAGTAAAGACACATCATAATTTTCATAGAACTAAATTTAGTACAATATTGTTGGTCAAGTTTATTTGTATACTGAATTCCTGTAAAAATGCTACACCTACATTAATTTTATTGAAATTACAATGGACGTGTCTTAGTAATTTGCATTAGTTTTATATATAATCATAAATTGTCAATAAACAGAAAACTTTCCTGTAATGGTGTCTCCTTTTACGATTTAATATTTTGACCATTCCTCCATGTACAATGATGTAAAAAACATGTTATCCAGTGCTTTCTTATTAGAATGTTCGGTGACAGGTAATGTCTCCTTTTTTTTGTGAACTTTTGGGGACATTAAGGATTGTTAGATTTAGCTGTCACCAAGGGATAATGATTTTGTCCCTAGTCATGATGATCACTTCCCACCAGTGCAATCATCACCTTTGAAATGGAATGTCAGTTCCTGGTTATATCCTTAAAATGTTTTTTTTGTATAACATGTATAATGACATTGATGTACTGAAGAACATATAGTGTTGTTATTAGACATATTAAGTACAACATCATTAATTTAACATATTAGACATTTATAACATGTATATATAAGACAAATTATTATTTCATTGGACTAAGTTTAGGACAATTTTGTTTGTCGGCCAAATATGTATACTGAATTTCCTTTAAAAAGCCTCATCTACTGGTTCAAAATTTTAATGAGTTCTTATTAGACAATCATGTTCAAAATTGAATACGACCGATGAACTTTCCTAGTAACTTGCATCATTTTGCTTATTATGCAAATTTTCTGTCCTTTTTGCATTTAACCTTATTCTAAGGAATTGTAGAATTGAACATTTATTTACAGCTTTAATTCAAAAACTTTTAGCATTAAAATATCTGTACCATATTATAATTTCAATGTTTTATATATAAGTAAATAGCTAAAATGGTGGACATCAAGTCATATTCTGTGTGTGCTAGTCCCAAGTCATGAGACTGTAATTCAGAAGTTGTCGTTTGTTGCTGAATATCACATTTTTTTTTATTTATTTTTTTGTACATAAATCAGGCAGTTAGTTTTCCTGGTTTTAATTGTATTACATTTGTCATTTCTGGGCCTTTTATAGCTTGCTATACAGTATAGGTTTTGCTCTTTGTTGAAGGCCATATGGTGACCAGTAGTTTCTAACAGTTCTACATTATTTGATCTCTGGTGTAGAATCGTCTCATTGGCAATCCTACCACAGCTTCTTATTTTTATAATAAACATATACTATACTTAGTCAGTGGTTTTCCTAAGTCATATCTTTATTGTCCCCAGTGCAACACGTTGCAGGGGACAAAGAAATACAGGGCGTCTGTCTGTCCCCATATTGTTACCACTCTCACTCGTACAATTCTTGCCTAATTTTTATAAAACATATCATAGGTTTTATATCAGCATTGTCTCGGACAAGTTCGAAAATCAGTGCCGATCAATAATTTTTTAAAAAGTTGTGCCCCTTGTAAATATTGATAATATGGAAAATTGCATTGTTAGCGCTCTCATGTGTACATTTCTTGCCAGATTTTCATGATACTTATATCATAGATTTATATTATGAATGTCTCAGACAAGATTGAAAATCTGAGTGCCGATCAATGATTTTTCAAAAGTTGTGCTCTTGGAAATTGCGTTGCATTTGCTCTCAAGTCTTCATTTCTCTAAGATATTTATAAAAAAGTTTTTGTTTTAGTTATTGCCCTTTGACAGATAAAATATGTGCAATGGGGAGAATATTGAAACTCTGTTTTTTTATTTCCTCTGTCATTTTGGGATTTTGATGTTGATAGATATTTGATTGTGTCTTAAATTTATTCACAATTATTTTAGACTTCTGGTTGATTTAAAGCTTGACATTCTTTGTAAATACCTGTCTACTTTTATTAAACCTACATGTATGTTAAGGACTTCAATAGTGCTATACTAAAAATTTCTGATCTCTAACAGTGGTTTTATCTTGAAAACCAAAATAGATAGAGAAAATCAGATGCGATCCAGGATTTTGAAAAAGAGGGGTCCCACAGGCCCCCGAACTAGACAAAATTTGTAGTTGAACCGGTAAATAGTCTGGATTAACCATAAATGAAGCTCCATAAAGGGGGCGGTCACCCCCTAAATCCGCCCCTGAAAATCTGACTGGCAAAACATTTTATACACATGCATGTAGTTCCATTCAATACATATAATCTTGTTGCATTGTATCAATTTATTTTTGGCCTGGGTGCCTCTTGTTATTGGAGTTCTGGGAAAAATGGGACTTTTAACTATTTTTTCAACTGTTGTACCATGATAACATCATATTCAGTGTAACAAATACAAAGCTTAAATTCAATTTATAATGTAATTTATGATCCTGTTCTTGAATTCTATACTGTACAAATGTATTCCTCATTTACACATTGTGGGGGAAATTTCCATGGACATAGCAATATTGAAGTCAATAATAATGAATAAACCCACCTGCCCCATAACCAGTTACTAAAAAAAATATAGCTATAGATACATGTGATATAAACATTTAGTTTAATATCTTTCTAAGACCTTGAAACCTGCATTATTTTATGATAAAACAAATCTTAAAATTTTTTGTTCCAGAACATATTGGCTCTCAATCCTAAAATTCATCAAAATGCCAATCTGGTTCCAAGTGCTTCCACCAAGAAGAACAAACAACACTGGAAAAGGAACCAGGAAAAAGGATGTAATGTAAGTGACTTTGATATGATTCATTAGTGTAAACAAATTCCAGTAGTTTTGATGGGTGATGTTAACATACATGTAGTACATGTATTTAAAAGTATGTCATCATGGTCATTTGACAAATTATTTTTATTGTAACAGAATTTTTTTTTAGTTCAAAGCCATAAGACACATTTGAAAGGCAGCCATTTTTAATTTGATAAAGCACAATGTTTTGTTTAAACCAAGTGTTTCACAATTTAAAGTGTATGTACGAATACATCTAGACTTCCTTTTTAAAGATTTCTTCGAATTTCACAGCAAGCAGCTCCCACAGAAATGTCCATTTTGATCTCCAGCAACATTCAAAATACAACTGACTTGGTTATTCAATTGTGATGTCAAGCACACACATGCACCTTATTTTTGAATTAGATTTGTTTACAAATGAAAAGAAGAGTGTCATATAAGAATGTTTTATAAACATCAAAATATTGTAATTACTTCTCATAAACTGATTGAAAGATGTCTATATCATGTATATATTTGTCGTAGAGTTGTGAAACAAAGGAGAAGAACTTTGAAGATATAAAACATACAACATTGAGTGAAAGAGGTGCATTAAAAGAAGCATCTAGGTAAGTTATAAGTATAGCTCAATAGCAATCCATCATTACAGTTCTAAATGAAAATTGTTTAATAAGATTATTAGTAAATGGAAGGTAAATGTCAATGAGAGAGGTTATCATGATTGTTATCTTCCATATTCACCCATATCAACCCTGAAGCTTCCAGGTTGAAATAGAAGTTTTTGGCTGATACAATAAGTTGTATGGGAAATTCTGTATAATGATTTACAGTTGGTAACAATTCATACCTGAGCAAAACATTAAGCAATCTACTGTTTTTATATATTGGCATCACGTTGTCGTCGTCGTCCATAGACATTTGGTTTCTGGACAATAACTTTAGTGTTAGTAAATAGAAATCTATGAAATTCAAACTTAAGGTTTATAACCACAAAAGGAAGATTGGGATTGATTTTGGGGGTTATGGTCCCAACAGTTTAGGAATTAGGGGACAAAAAGAGGCCCAAATAAGCATTTTTCTAGTTTCATGGCAATAACTTGTGGAATAGTGTATGGATTTCTCTGAAATTATACCACAAGTTCCATACCACAAAGGGATGGTTAGGATTTGCTTAGGGGGTTATGGCTCAAACCGTTTAGGAATAAGGGGCAAAAAAGTGAGAAAAAACAAGGGTGTCCTGGTTAAAGGACAATTACTTAAGTACAAATTACAGTGTAAGGGAGGTAATTCAAACACAACTTTGAACTTCCTCCCTTACACTGCTTTTAAATTATGTATTAAGAAATGTTGTATTGTCTTGAGGTGATTAGCTGTCAATTCATTTTTAGAAGTTACTATTTTAATATTTTTTAAAATGCTGATTAAGGTTAATTAATTTTATCTATGATTATGTATGTCATTTTCTATTTTAAGAATTTTATGATGTATTTAAATGGGTTATTATGGTTGCAAGCTCCATTGGAAATTTGAATTGAGATTATGACCATGTCTGGAGGGAAAGAATATTTTTTTGGAAAAAAGGGGGGGGAGGTTAAAAAAAATTGGGGGGGGGGGGGGGTCTTGACTGAATTGTCGTCATTTAAAACTGATAAAAATTGAATGTATTGAAAAAAATTAACAATTGGAATACTTTTTATGCAGAACTTTTAAACACCTTATTCAAATTAACCAATTTTGTTGTTTTTATGCACTGCCTACACCTGGGAACATTATGTATTCCATAATGTGGATGAGTTTGTCTGTTCATCTGTTAGTCAGTTGATGTCCGTCCTGTATCAGGGTAAAGTTTTGGTTTGTCTGTTCATCTGTTGGTCAGTTGATGTCCGTCCTGTATCAGGGTAAAGTTTTGGTTTGTCTGTTCATCTGTTGGTCACTTGATGTCCGTCCTGTATCAGGGTAAAGTTTTGGTTTGTCTGTTCATCTGTTGGTCACTTGATGTCCGTCCTGTATCAGGGTAAAGTTTTGGTTTGTCTGTTCATCTATTAGTCACTTGATGTACGTCCTGTATCAGGGTAAAGTTTTGGTTTGTCTGTTCATCTGTTGGTCAGTTGATGTCCGTCCTGTATCAGGGTAAAGTTTTGGTTTGTCTGTTCATCTGTTGGTCAGTTGATGTCCGTCCTGTATCAGGGTAAAGTTTTGGTTTGTCTGTTCATCTGTTAGTCAGTTGATGTCCGTCCTGTATCAGGGTAAAGTTTTGGTTTGTCTGTTCATCTGTTAGTCAGTTGATGTCCGTCCTGTATCAGGGTAAAGTTTTGGTTTGTCTGTTCATCTGTTAGTCAGTTGATGTCCGTCCTGTATCAGGGTAAAGTTTTGGTTTGTCTGTTCATCTGTTAGTCAGTTGATGTCCGTCCTGTATCAGGGTCAAGTTTTGGTTTGTCTGTTCATCTGTTAGTCAGTTGATGTCCGTCCTGTATCAGGGTAAAGTTTTGGTTTGTCTGCTCATCTGTTAGTCACTTGATGTACGTCCTGTATCAGGGTAAAGTTTTGGTTTGTCTGTTCATCTATTAGTCACTTGATGTACGTCCTGTATCAGGGTAAAGTTTTGGTTTGTCTGTTCATCTGTTAGTCAGTTGATGTCCATCCTGTATCAGGGTGAAGTTTTGGTTTGTCTGTTCATCTGATGGTCAGTTGATGTCCGTCCTGTATCAGGGTAAAGTTTTGGTTTGTCTGTTCATCTATTAGTCACTTGATGTACGTCCTGTATCAGGGTAAAGTTTTGGTTTGTCTGTTCATCTGTTAGTCAGTTGATGTCCGTCCTGTATCAGGGTAAAGTTTTGGTTTGTCTGTTCATCTATTAGTCACTTGATGTACGTCCTGTATCAGGGTAAAGTTTTGGTTTGTCTGTTCATCTGTTAGTCACTTGATGTACGTCCTGTATCAGGGTAAAGTTTTGGTTTGTCTGCTCATCTGTTAGTCACTTGATGTACGTCCTGTATCAGGGTAAAGTTTTGGTTTGTCTGTTCATCTGATGGTCAGTTGATGTCCGTCCTGTATCAGGGTAAAGTTTTGGTTTGTCTGTTCATCTGTTAGTCACTTGATGTACGTCCTGTATCAGGGTAAAGTTTTGGTTTGTCTGTTCATCAGTTAGTCAGTTGATGTCCGTCCTGTATCAGGGTAAAGTTTTGGTTTGTCTGTTCATCTGTTAGTCAGTTGATGTCCGTCCTGTATCAGGGTAAAGTTTTGGTTTGTCTGCTCATCTGTTAGTCAGTTGATGTCCGTCCTGTATCAGGGTAAAGTTTTGGTTTGTCTGTTCATCTGTTAGTCAGTTGATGTCCGTCCTGTATCAGGGTCAAGTTTTGGTTTGTCTGCTCATCTGTTAGTCACTTGATGTACGTCCTGTATATGGGTAAAGTTTTGGTTTGTCTGTTCATCTGTTGGTCACTTGATGTCCGTCCTGTATCAGGGTAAAGTTTTGGTTTGTCTGTTCATCTGTTAGTCACTTGATGTCCGTCCTGTATCAGGGTAAAGTTTTGGTTTGTCTGTTCATCTGTTAGTCAGTTGATGTCCGTCCTGTATCAGGGTCAAGTTTTGGTTTGTCTGCTCATCTGTTAGTCACTTGATGTACGTCCTGTATATGGGTAAAGTTTTGGTTTGTCTGTTCATCTGTTGGTCACTTGATGTCCGTCCTGTATCAGGGTAAAGTTTTGGTTTGTCTGTTCATCTGTTAGTCACTTGATGTCCGTCCTGTATCAGGGTAAAGTTTTGGTTTGTCTGTTCATCTGTTAGTCAGTTGATGTCCGTCCTGTATCAGGGTAAAGTTTTGGTTTGTCTGTTCATCTGTTGGTCAGTTGATGTATGTCCTGTATCAGGGTCAAGTTTTGGTTTGTCTGCTCATCTGTTAGTCACTTGATGTACGTCCTGTATATGGGTAAAGTTTTGGTTTGTCTGTTCATCTGTTAGTCACTTGATGTCCGTCCTGTATCAGGGTAAAGTTTTGGTTTGTCTGCTCATCTGTTAGTCACTTGATGTCCGTCCTGTATCAGGGTAAAGTTTTGGTTTGTCTGTTCATCTGTTAGTCACTTGATGTCCGTCCTGTATCAGGGTAAAGTTTTGGTTTGTCTGTTCATCTGTTGGTCAGTTGATGTCCGTCCTGTATCAGGGTAAAGTTTTGGTTTGTCTGTTCATCTGTTGGTCAGTTGATGTCCGTCCTGTATCAGGGTAAAGTTTTGGTTTGTCTGCTCATCTGTTGGTCAGTTGATGTCCGTCCTGTATCAGGGTAAAGTTTTGGTTTGTCTGTTCATCTGTTGGTCAGTTGATGTCCGTACTGTATCAGGGTAAAGTTTTGGTTTACGGTAGTTTACTATGTCATTGCGGTCACATCAATTTGAAAGCACACCCAATGATGATGTGAATTTTTAAAAATATATGCCAAATGAGGGGTATAACCCAGATTCCACTATTCACTGAACATGGAGACAAGACAGTGCTAGCAACCCATGGTACTTTTTTTTATTTAAATTAAATGTCCTAGTCTTTGCTGTCAGTTGAACATTTTCAATACCATAAGTAGAAATTTTGCATTGTTATTTAAACCAGAAGAATATTATTAGTAAACTGTCAAAAAATTTAAATACATACAGAACTTTAGCATTTTGATGCTTTTGAAGGGTCAACCTATACAATTGTTGTAAAACAGGTTTTCTTAGACAAAGTAAATTGCTGAATGTGTAAAATAACATTTTAAAAGTGATGGAATATTTGTCTATTTAATGAACTGATTTAAACTTTACAGATGTTTGAAATGTGCTGATGCACCATGTCAGAAGAGCTGCCCAACTCAGCTTGATGTCAAGGCTTTCATTACTAGTATTTCTAACAAGGTATGGTACATGTTTTATTTTTACTTGTACAATCTGAAGACAAATTTTATAATAAAGTCATTATGCCTTATTTTGCTTGGACCCATACTACAATAAGTCACAATTAGTTAGTTGCACACTTTTCTCTGACATTCACAAATGAATACTTTATGCGGTGAAATTTATACATTGAATGGATTACTGTTTAAAACTTTTTTTGTTAAATCTTTGTCACAAAAAATTGACTCGATCAATTAAACATTTTTGTTGTGTTCAGCAGTCAGGGGCGTTACTTAAACAAGTGATTTTGTTAGTTACTTACATAGGTAATTTCTGTTTTAAAAAATTATAAAATTACTTAATAGAGTTCTTTTAAATTTTAATAGAAGCATGGACTAGATGTAGTTTTTATGAATTTTTACATTGTTTTGTTACATAAATTTAAGAAATTATTATATTTGAGAGAAGCATAGAGATACTTTAAAAATAATGACAAAAATATTATCTGTATAAGTTATTTTATACATCTTTGAAAAAATTAGTTATTACAATTATTTAAGGAACATATGTAATTGTTTTGGGTTACACATGATAAATAACTTCAAGTCCTTTAATTAAATCACAATTTTCAATATATTCATATCTGTCTACCTTTAAGATTTTCAAGGAAAATGATATTTTAATAGTCCCAAGAGACCAATTTTTTATACATAAGCTTTGATATGAAATCTAAGTGCATCAGAAAGGCAATTAGTGTTTCAGGAGGATTAGTTTTTATATTTTATGGGAAAAATAACCAGATGTCTGTGAAAATTTGTTAAATGTAGTAAAATCTGTATAAATGGACACCTAAAAAAATAATGTTTACAAAAGTTACTTATATAAGTAATATTTAGAATAGCCTCATTTTCAACATAACTTGTATGGGTAATTTTGAAAGTTATTGTTTAATTAATGCCCTTGACTGTTTAGTAGCATTTACAGATAATGCTTGGCGGGAAAAGGGGGATAATTATATTTTAGAATTTTTTGTTATCAGTGATGGGCAAATTCTGTATTCTCATGCTTTCTCAGCACTAGTTGGTTAATCAATGTCTTTGAGTACGGATATACAGTCAATGAAGTTGTATAAATACATATGATCAGGTTAAGCTATGCCTCTAAAATTCATCTTTCAAGTTGAGATGCATTTACCAGGGACATTAAAAAAATTCTTGAAAACATAGCTTAAATACTTATGGAGAATGCTTTGAATACATGGGAATTTTCTTAAATTTTCCTTTTGTGCTTCCAAGTGCGACAGTTGTATTCTAATAACCAATGTTTTCCCTATGTATATAATGAGATGAAAATCAAGTGTTGCCTCCTGTACACCATATATTTGACAATTTCAAAACTAATTGGAAGTAAATTTCGGCAGTCTGTGTGGCGGTTCATATTTTGTGTAAGCTATATTTTCATCAGATAACAGTAAAACACAAAAATTAAGTGAATTTCACCCAGTTACAGACTTACAAAACTGTGCATGCCAATACATTGACTGAAATAAAAAAAGATAAAAAATTGGTGATAAGGCTATGTGTAATAAGAGTGAAATATCTATAGTTAGTACTTGATCTGATCATGGACGAATTATCTCAATAAATACCACACTTTTTTTTGCACACGAAGTGAAAGCATATTTGTTTGTGATATTTCCATTTTTTGCAGAATTATTATGGATCTGCTAAATACATATTTTCTGACAACCCTCTGGGATTGACTTGTGGTATGGTATGTCCTACATCTGACCTTTGTGTAGGAGGATGTAATTTATATGCCTCAGAAGAAGGTCCCATAAACATTGGTGGACTACAACAGTTTGCTACAGAGGTAAGTCATGTTTTGGTAATTGACATTTGACCTTTGTTTAAGAGGATGTAGTTTATATGCCTCAGTAGACAGCCATTATCATCATTGATTTCAGTTTGCTGCACAGGTACGCTAACAGGAGAAATGGTGAAGAAATCTTGGATATTGCGCTCAAACTTAAGAGATATATATTTGAAGAAACATGATCATTGAAATATACCTCAATACCACTCATACCATATCTACTTGAATATTTATCGCATGTGTAATTTCTACATTTCTGTAGGTGGATGTTATTTATTACTATTAGAAGGTACTGTTAGAGATAAGTATGAATAAAAGAAGATGTGAGGTATAAGTTAGTGATATTGCAACAATACTAAAAAAAACATGACATCTAAAGGTCAATTTATGGTCTTCAGAAATAGGTAGGTTTGTATACAATTTGTCAAGCTCTTAATTGCCCTGAGTGTAGATATTAAACTGATATCAACAAAGGTGTGCTATTAACACCAAATTCCCCAAAATATCCCATACTAATACATAAAAAAAACGGACGAAAGAGGAGAAAAAAACCACCAACAATGTTCCTGAGTTGGAGTAGGCACATGAATATGTATTGGGGTTAAACTATAGTAATAATGAGTAACAACCTTCCCCCTTTTAAAATTGATCATTGATAAAATCGATCAGTCAACTAACAAAATGTACATAAGAGTGAATACAAACAAAATCAGCATAGAAACAACACTTCACTAAAAAAATTATGATAAAATAGATAACAGAAACAGAAACAAAAGTACAAACAAAATGAATAATAAACAATATTATATAGTTATCAAGGCTAGAATGCTTGCTCTTACTGAAAACTAGCACACAGTAATTAGCCAGCTAACATGATGTCATGTAGATTTTTTTAAAAAGATAACAATTTTGTTTTAGGTGTTTAAGCAGATGAAAATACCTCAGATAAGAGATCCATCATTACCTCCTGTTGACCAACTTCCTGAGAGTTATCAGGCTAAGATAGCTTTGATTGGTTGTGGACCAGCAAGTATTAGCTGTGCTACCTTCCTAGCCAGACTTGGGTACACCAACCTGACTATTTTTGAGAAACAAGAATATATAGGTGGACTAAGGTAGAGAAAATATATATAAGGCGATTTGAAAATTATTTTTCTGGTACTCAGACTTAGGAAAAAGTTATATGTGAAGGAAGGTATTTAATTTGTCTATTAATAACTTTTTTGACATCAGCAAGTATTTTATTTAACACTGCATCTATATCCCTGTATTAAAATTAGACACAAAAAAGGCAGAAATCACCTAAGTTGAAGAACAGATAACACTGAGGGCAAAAGACAAAAAAAATAAATAAAAGTAGCATTTGACTTCTTTGGTCATGCGCATAGTGCTTTCATAGTTATCTGAGCCCATATATATCTGGTTGTAGTTGTTCTCTTTAGATATATTAGAAAGTCTGCTCAATCCAATTACTCCCTTGAGAGAATTCTTTTGCACAGATGATTTATAGTTGTTCCTCTTTTATCTTAAAGCATCCAGAAATGATAGCAGAGTTTCCTGTAAGTTAAGTTTCATTAAAATTTGTGGACTCTGATGTCTGTCAGAGTTATTGCACTTTGACTAGTGTGAAGACAGCTTAATATGAACCACTGTGTATTCTCTTATTTTTATGGGTCTCAATTTTAGTTGATTGAAGAAATAGAATATTTTTCTTGGATACTTGATTTCCTGTTTAAACAAATTCTGCATACAAGCCTATAGGAAATTTGCATTTTGTCGAACCCTTGAATTTGTGATTAATACTTCCCTAAGAAATTCTATTACATCTTCCTATTAGAACTTAAGCATCTTAGTCTCTTTAGAGATCACATGTTCAGTTTTGGTATGGTTAATTTTACACAATTACTCATTAACTTGTATTTTGTATATCTCAGCTCTTCAGAAATTCCACAGTATAGATTGCCATACAGTGTTGTTGACTTTGAAGTCCAATTGATGAAAGATTTGGGAGTTAAGGTAAATTAATTGGTGTGAAAACCTGAGAGATGAATATTAATACAAAGAGATGTGGGGATAACATCAATGAGATAGCAATTAAAATTTTGTGGTTTTTGCCTCTATTTATTGAAACAAAATTGGGGAATGAAATTGTCCTTTCTAGTATGAGAAATTAATGCTCTTTATAGGTTAATTGTTCATTTTGGTTTTAATTTCAAGGATAATTTGTGTTCACAAAATATACAAAATTAAAACCTCAACAAAAACATCTACGATTACCTAATGCACCTCCATGATCAGTGCAAACAAAATTTAGCACAGTCTTTATACATGGAAACGTGATTATATATGTTACTGAATTTTATTTTAATTTCAGATTGTGAATGGTAAAGCATTGGACAAAAATGATATAACCATACAGAAGTTAAAAAATGATGGTTATGAAGCTGTTTTCCTTGGCATAGGTAAAATATTTTAGGCTTTTATAATAAACTATACTTGTTTTATAACATTTTTCTCAACAAATTTTTATTGTATATTCCAGTTGACTGAATATTAAATTATTGATTTGTTTTAATCATTCTCAGTTCTTGACATATGGAATCTTATTTCTTGGCAATATGTATATCTATGGTTTCCTCTAGCAAAGAGATTTTATACAACAGATTCTATCCAACCAAAATCTTTTTAAATGCTATACAATAGTTGTTCCTTTTCAAGGAACTGTGTTATGATATTTGATAAGAGTATAATGTAACAAATGTATTATTACAGGTTTACCGGATCCAAAGAAGATACCTATATTTGAAGGCCTAACAGAGGATATGGGATTCTACACATCAAAAGACTATTTACCAAAGGTTACATCAAGTAGCAAAGCAGGTTAGTACAAAAACATGTGATATACTTTATAGGTACATGTTACTTCTGTACTTTTGATAAAAGATGATATGGGGTATTTGTTAATAAGTCACCTGATTTAAAAGTTCAATTTTGTTTTTGATTCTATTGTGGGGCTTGGATATAGTATGCATAAAAAAGCACATTTTTGCCGAATTCTATTTGCTTTCTATACAAATGCTTACCTAGGTTGAAAAAATTCACTAAGTAATATTTCAGTGCATTCTTTTTTTCGAATTTCAGTTAAAATTCAACAAGCCAAAGTTGTATGCAAAATTTTACCAAAATCTGACATAACTCATTTACTGTACTTTGACCTAAAATATAAAAAAAGACTTTGTTAATCAATTACGCAAGTTTTTCTGATAAAATTTTACAGGGATGTGTGCTTGTAAATCACAGCTTCCTCAGATGTATGGAAAAGTAATAGTTCTAGGAGCAGGAGATACAGCCTTTGACTGTGCTACTTCAGCCCTGAGATGTGGAGCTAAGAGAGTGTATGTTGTCTTTAGGAAAGGCTTTACTAATATCAGGGCTGTTCCTGAAGAGGTACGTTACTAGATACTGTGGATTCACTATTATTCGTTGGATACCAATTTTCGTGGATTTCGTGGTTATAGGTTAACCACGAACTTAAATGTTCAACGAATGGCAAATTTACTATAGGCTTGTATGCAGACATTGTCAAAAACCACGAAATTAAATATCCACGAACATGTAAGTTTTCCTTAATCCACGAAAATTGGTACCCACGAAAATAAATGAATCCACAGTAAATGATGTGTTTGATTCCTGTAGTTTATGTTAATAAAGAAATAATATTGTAAATTCAGAAATTATTGCGTGCATTCATTATTTCGATTTGTAAAGAATGGACAAAAATGCGAGATTAATTACCACGATTTCAGGAAAAGCTGCATACAGATATATGCATCAGATATCAGAATGAGAGTTTTTATTATTACGATACTCACCAGGTCACATTATTTACATTAATAAAACCTTGCAATAATTTCTGAATTTACAGTATATGAAAATTTTGAAATCAATTCAAGGTAGAATTAGCAAAAGTAAAAAAATCTATGGTCTCAGTGAAAAAGATCTGTGCCATCAAAGCTGACACTAGAAATGTTTACTGAATTGAATCTTTTTATTTAAATGTATTTGCATTCATTTAGAACATATAAATTAAAACTGAAACAAAAATCTACTTACAATGAGAAGCACTTGAAATAGGTTCTTAATATTCTTAGAAAATCAAGTTTTTTGCAATATGAGAAAATTATGTTTGAAACCAAAATGAGACAGCAACACACAATGAAAAACACAGAGTTGTTGCTTTTATGACAGAGTTATTTTTAAAATTTTTTTAGCTTTTATAGAGCTAAAGATTTAGTTCTTGTGACATGTATATTGGAATTATTTCAAATGATAATGTTTTCAGATGGAACTTGCCCGGGAAGAAAAGTGTGAATTCTTGCCTTTCATGTCCCCAAAGAAGGTCATGTCTAAAAATGGTAAAGTATCTGGCATGGAGTTTGTAAGAACAGAACTAGACGATGATGGTAATTGGGTAGAAGATGAAGAGGAGATTATCAGGATTAAGGCAGATTATATTATATCTGCATTTGGATCAGGATTAACTGATTCTAAAGGTTAGATTAATAGTTGCCTGGTATGATACATGCGTTAGATTCAGTTCTTGATATTTTTTAATATCATATTTTCTATGGCATTGCTCGAAAATATGCATGCACTCCAAAGGGATAAAATTAAATCCTGAATATGGTGCCTATCTTATAAAAAAATCTTTCATATACAAATCTTCAATTTTATTTTTATATGTCTTTAAGTGTTTTGGTTTCAGTTATATGACAGAGTTTGTTCCATTTTAAAATATATACATATCTTTTTCTTTTAGTTGTTGAAGCTATGAAACCAGTTAAGTTGAACAGATGGGGCTTACCAGAAGTGAACAATGAAACCATGCAGTGCAGTGAACCATGGATATTCTGTGGAGGGGACATTGCAGGTGTGGCACAGACAACTGTAGAATCTGTTAATGATGGCAAAACAGCATCATGGTATATCCATAAATATTTACAGGTACAATAAAACTGTAGACAGTTATGGATTGTTTTATGAGAGATATCTTATTGTTATACTTATATTTTAAAACTTCATGTTGGGCAAAGTTAAATTATTTGGTCAGACACCTCTTTTAATTTCCTATTTCTATCATCATTTCTTTTGTCAATTCTTCTTACCAATATTTTGGTGATGACATATAAGTGTCTGTATGTTTACATTATTTTAATAGTATATTGTCAGACAATGAATATTAGAATTTGTGTTTCAGGCTTACCAATTGTTTGTGAAATTTATCGTTTGTTCCTGCACACATGTAACTTCTAAAACATATGTTACATTTATTTATCAATAACAAAGAGCACAACTGATATCAATGCTAGAGGCCACTTGGCTAATAGTTGAAGGCAATACCTTTCAATAAGAAAAATGGTTTAACTTATCATATGAACTCAGAAATTTACATAGAACAATCAGGCTGCAGACAGGAGTATTTGCGTCATACCAACACATCTGGTTTTGTTTGATAACTTGTTAAAATCTGATACAACTAAAAATATGAATAAAGAAGACAGTGGACTATACCTGTGAGACAGTAACCTAACAATAACATACAAAGATATGACATTTAAAGGTCAACATACAGTCTTCAGTGTGCAGACAAGTCACTATACCATATATCTTGACAAAAGTTCAGTTTGAAGTTGATACTGACTAGCAAAGACATATTCTAGGAACACAAAAATTCCTTAAACAATAAACTAAAATATTATTGATGACTTCACAGTTGAAACTACTACTGGAACTCTGTTGAAAGAAGAGTTAGATATCATGTTATGTAATACAATTTCTATGTCTGCTTTATTATACCCCTGCTTTAAAAAAATGGGGGTATACTGCAAGGCTTCCAAAACGGTCATTTGTATAATGTCCGGTAAAAGTCTGGCTGGGCAAATCATGAAACGGTCATATACTTTTTAGTTTTCAAGGCTTTCTTCAGAGACGGTCATTTTAACATAATTCACGATCTTTTTGACCCAACCTTTTGCCTTTAACAGCAACACATTTCCGGTCATAAAAGTGACATGATCATTAAGTACTATCAAAACAACCCCTACTTTAATACCTTCTCATTTTAATCAAGGCTAATAAGTTGTCGAACAGCTGAAATTTACCTGTTCAGGTGACAGGTAAACTATTTTGAACCGGACATTGATCGGTCTATTCAAAGTTATTTTTTTACATTTCAGCGGTTTGCATCTAATTAATTTAGTCAAAAAGATTTAAATTATCAGAAATACGTTTACAAATATGATTTGATGATAAAAATAAAAAGGTGAATATGAAAAATCGTCATAACCACGTTGTTTGAACCAGAGACATGTCTCTGTTTGAACTAGTACACGTGTGCGCATGTGCGCAGGTATGAAATTTAATTATGCATCCTAATTTCTTCAAAAAATGCTTAAATTGTCATTGATACCTTTGTCTCACGTTTATTTCGAATATTTTCTTGAAGAAATAACGTAGAAAGAGCTACGTACACTCATTCATGCTTTGCAAACGTACACGGAATTTACGTATCCGTCTCTGATCCATGTTTTACCATTGTCAAGATAACATCCGGTATAAGATTTTAACGAATGTAAAGTTTTTGACAACGTTATTTTGCACAAATAAAGAGTCTAAAGCAGATATAAGTACGCTGATGTTGCACACTTCGAATGATGCACTGCCAATTTAACAGTTTACGTCAGAACTTCGAATTTGAATCAAAGAAAGTTTAATATCGTGTTTTTTTAATGTCAATCATTGGGATGGCTAACTCAGCAACTGAATACCATAATTGCCTTTTGTTTATTTAGTCTTAAGGGATTAAAATCGGGATAATATATAAAATGTCCGGCTGGCTAAAAATAATTTTGGAAGCCCTGGTATACTGTTTTATCTCTGTCTGTCCATCTGTCCGTCCCATGAATATTTTTCGTAGCATCTTTCTCAGGAACTACATCATAAGGACTTCTGAAATTTGGTTTCAGGGTTTATATAAGTCAGCCATTCTGTGTGATGCGTTTTCAGATTCATCACTCAACAACTTCCTGTTTACTGAACACTTACATATTTTTACACTATTAAAATTATTCATTTTTACACTATTAAAATTATCCAGTTGCGACGGGGGTATCATCAGTGAGCAGTAGCTCACAGTTTCACTTTTATACCCCCGCTTTAAAAAAGTAGGGGTATACTGTTTTATTATACCCCAGCTTAAAAAAAGGGGGGTATACTGTTTAACCTCTGTCTGTCCGTCCGTCTGTCTGTCTGTCCAATGAATATTTTTCGTCACAACTTTCTCAGGAACTGCATCATAAGGATTTCTGAAATTTGGTTTCAGGGTTTATATAAGTCAGCTATACCGTGTGATGCGTTTTCAGATTCATCACTCAACAACTTCCTGTTTACCGAACACTAACATATTTTTATACTATTAAAATTATCCAGTTGCGGCGGGGGTATCATCAGTGAGCAGTAGCTCACAGTTTAGCTTGTTAATTTATAATGTCTGTATCTAATTACTCATTTCAGTCACTTCATGGAATACCTATACCATCCGAGCCAAGCCTACCAACATTCTTCACTCCTATTGACCTTGTAGACATCAGTGTTGAAATGTGTGGATTGAAATTTCCTAATCCATTTGGACTAGCCAGTGCTCCACCAACTACCAGCAGTCCTATGATTCGTAGGGCCTTTGAAGCAGGTTGGGGATTTGCTTTGACTAAGACTTACTCTTTAGATAAGGTGAGTGATATGTCTATAGTTGTAGATTTTAAGTCTTTGTTTTACTAAAGAAAAAAATGTTATTTGTACATGAATATAAAAGCAAGCACTTATGGTAAAAATTTCATGAAAATTCTAAAAAAATTGTAAACATTGCACTGGTTTCAGATTTCAAAGGGATTATGATATCATAACTGTATTAGATAATAGTTTGATATAATTGTACAATTATAAGATTTTGATAAAAGTTTTGTTTTTTAGATTATAGTTTTTAATCCTTATTTAAAGTGAAAGTGATGATATTTGTAGATTTCTTTTTTTTTGTTGAGTTAATGGATTTCTGAAATTATGACATTTTATTCACAAAGAAATATAATATTTTTTTTATGTTCTTTGCGAAGTGGAAAAACCAAGAATTCTGAAACCAATGAACTTTATGAATAAGTATGTTTTTTATTAATATTATTAATTGCATAGTATCCATTCAAGTCCTAGCTTTGCAGCATATTTCATTTAGTAATAATAACAAAAATCTTTACAGGACATAGTGACCAATGTATCTCCCCGTATAGTGAGGGGAACTACATCAGGACAGATGTTTGGACCAGGACAGGGTTCCTTTCTCAATATAGAGTTGATCAGTGAGAAAACAGCAGCCTACTGGTGTAACAGTGTTACAGAACTGAAGAGGGATTTCCCAGAAAAGGTACTGTGTATTTCTATAATAATGGTCATTACTAAGTTTTAGGGTTTTGATTTATAGTGTAAGTTTCTTATATTAAAAGGCAAAAAAGAGTCAGATACTTTAATTATAATACTGGATCATATGAAAATCATAACCAGTCTTTACAGTGTGAAGTATTTTTGTTATTGTTCATGGCAGTGCATAGTAGAATTATTAATTAGTTTAGATAAGATTGTTAGAGACAAATTTCGTAATTTTTTCTGGTTAATGGAACTGTATTTAATATTTTCTCTATAATATCTCTGGATGCTTTAATTAATAGGTTATACAATATATAAAAAAAAAAGAGAGCACAATTAATCTTCCTGAAATTTCAGCTTAGAAAGCAAAGGATCCTATCAAAAACAAATTCTCTAATAGTTTACTAAGTATATTATAAGTTATATGGTTTGCTACTGACCACCTACAGATCCATAGAGGGTTAGTAAAATCCATAGGGGTGAGACGAAGGCCGAATCACCTTTGGATTTTACTAACCCTCTATGAATCTGAAAGGGTCAGTAGTGAATCATATAACGAATTTATTGCACACAGACTTTTCCTGCAAGTTTTGTATAGAAATAAACACTGAAATACAATAATATTAATAGATGACGTCACCATTAATAATTCTAATGCAATTTATATATAATTTTTTTCATTGGCTTAAATTACCATCAAATCCACGGTTGACATGTCGTAACTAAGGAGTGAGCCGCCATATTAAATTGCTTGGCCACCATATTAAATTGCTTGGATCAGCAAAAGTTTGATTAAAACAATATAGTCAAAAATAAAACAACACGTTCCCCAAAACAGCCATTTTGATGTGATTTAATTCAAAATTGAATCCTAGAAGTAACATAATAACCTTCAGTTTGAATGTTGTCATTTGTATTACATCACGTTTAGCCATGACGTTTATGCGCCAAAATCATTCATAAAATTTCGTGGCATTTTATTTTATTTCATATTTATAGATGTTCAAGCATACAAATCTGAATAGCAGTATTGTAGTTGAAGAGTTGCAGATGTGTAGCGGAGCCAGTAAAACTGCATTTGCGACCATCCAATCGCCAATTGATGACGGCAGCTCCTCAACTACAGTTCTGTTATTCCTTAATAGAAATGACGTCATGAACCCCATATGAAATCTACTGATCCCATACAGTTCCATGGGGGGTCAACATGTGACGGCGTTAAACTAATTACAACATCATAAATTACCAGAGGTGCCATAAATATCAATATGCCTGATGCAGTAAACTTTAGCAACAAGAGACTAATTCAAAATTTTCTTTGTTCTTTTTTTTATAATTGACACATAACATTTTTATTGTACCTTTTAGCTGATTTAATCTAGTTATCTCCCTTTGTAAGCCAACTATTGATAAGAATCTCATGTTTTTATTTTTTTTCTCAATAAAACTTCATCAGAATTTGAGCAATAAAATTGTTTTATTGATTTTCATGACATTTACTTTTCCTGATTTGTTTCCCTCACAGTAACATATTAGAGTGAAGTATATTATGATATACAGTTTGGAAAGATACTACTTCATCCTCTTTCTAAAAACTGCCAAAAATATTTTCATTATCATAAAAATTTTGACTTGCATGCATTAATCGCCAATTTCTACTTAAGACTTTTACTTTTTCTAATTTGATACCTATATTTTGTGTATCTAGATTTTGATTGCCAGTATAATGTGTAGCTACAGTAAGGAGGACTGGACACAACTAGCACAAATGTCAGAGGTTTGTAGTAATAATTTACTATGTAGTAGTTTTGATGATGTTTAAATTATTGATTTTATGATATAAATAGAATTTGTCGAACAATCGAAACAAATGAAGTAAAAAACTTAAAGTTCAGTTAAATCTGCACTAACTATGATCATTCATAATATTTTTTTTCCAATTGACATATTTATCTATTTTATTATATTTTGTCAATAGAAAGCTGGTGCTGATGCTTTGGAGTTGAATCTGTCATGTCCTCATGGAATGGGAGAGAGAGGAATGGGACTGGCTTGTGGACAGGTAAGATCGTAAAAGTTTTTTATATTGTGTTGCAAGAAATGACACAGAGGGATCATATGTCATTTTGCTTTCCTGCATTATCTGTCGTCTGCACTATTCATTGACGTCACAGTTTTGTTAAACCAAAATCCTGCTAGATCACTAAAGGGTAATACAGTAAATTCTTGAAATTTTGCATGTACTGTTTAAATTTATAATTGATTTGATTCCTTATGTACATTGATGCATATTTCTGTTAATTGACAGTGCGTCATTTGAAGTGTGGAACATCAGGTGATTTACATTTCCCCTTTACTCTTTATTATTTGCAACCACATATCGAGAAGAAACTTTTGCTATTGTTGTAAAACACATGTTTTCTAAAACCTTATGTTGACTTTAATAAGGATAAAGCTGTGAATAAGACAGAAAATAAATCAGTGTATTTTTGTCAAGCATTGTCAAGTTTAAATCATTCTCTCCACATTATTTTTTCAAGCAAAAACATGAAATGAACATATGATAAATGGTATAAATTATTTATATAATTGTATTTTTCTTCATTTAAAAAGCTTTAGAATGCATAGTTAAATGAATTGATTTAATTGTTATTTTAAAAGATATTGCTCTCGACATGAATTTTACAAAATTATTAGTTTATTGTCAAATTCATAATACATATTTAATTTTTCAGGATCCAGAGTTAGTTCGTAATATATGTAGATGGGTCAGGGAAGCTGTGAAGATTCCATTCTTTGCTAAGTTGACACCAAATGTTACCAAAATAACTGATATTGCAAAGGCTGCTCATGAAGGTATAAAGCCATATAATGAAGCCACTATTATTAAATATCAGTTGTTAATGAACCTTATTTGACCCTGACGTGACTATAGTTAGGAAGGTGTCTAATTGAAATTAACTCCACATGTTATATATATCAAAAAATGCTCACAGTAACTTAGCATTGCCTAAGTACTTAACCTGCTGATATAAAATCATGGTGTCGTACACTCTATATATAGATTGCTTTACTTCAGAGAAGATATACAGCAACGTCATAAACAATACAGGAAGGCATAATAGAATGATAAACCTGGTATAGTGGAATATTCATCGTAAAAGTATAGGAAATACATAACAAATCAAGGATCTCCATGGATGTAAAGATAACCATGGAGAAGCAAATTCTCCAAAACAGCACATGATGCTTCAAGTTATATAATGCACTTACCACTGGAAAAATAGTGCTCAGTCTCAGATAATTATTCCACTGGTATGGAATTAATTGGTTTAACAGAAATAAATATGTTGAAATTTAATTCTCTTGAAAGCTTATCTTTGATATCAGTCAAAATTAGTTTTTAGACTGGTGTAAAGAATGCAGCCAAAAAGGAAAGACCTATTCAAATTGATTGTACTAGTATAGATGTAAAAAATATATATAACTTTCCATTATAAAGGTCATGCTGATGGAGTAACAGCAACCAACACTGTATCTGGATTAATGGGTTTGAAAGGTAATGGAGCAGCATGGCCAAGTATTGGTAAAGAGAAGAGAACTACATATGGTGGTGTATCTGGTAATGCTATACGACCTATAGCTCTCCGTGCTGTGTCTGCTGTGGCCAATGCTATCCCAGGATTCCCTATTCTAGCCACAGGAGGTATTGACTCTGCTGAGGCTGGGTTGCAGTTTCTGCAAGGAGGTGCATCAGTGTTACAGGTATAAAAAACAACAAATTATACATCCAAGAGCCGATAAAAGGCATAATCAATATTTGTTAGGTATATATCCTACACTAAAATTATTAAAAACTTCATATGTCCATCATTTGAGCTGACCCTTACAGTTGTGCAGAATATTATGTTGTGTTTTAGTCCCCTACCGACGAAGTTGAAGGGGACTTTAGGTTTGCACTCTGTCCGTCTGTCTGTCTGTCCATCTGTCTGTCTGTCCATCTGTCAGTCCGGCAAATCAGTTTTCCAGACTTTTTTTCTTCGTGCTTGAAGATATTGATTTGATATTTGGTTGATTGATTTATCATGACAAGTTACAGGTCAAGTTCAATTTTCACAATTTTAGCTTTTCTCTTTGTTCAGTTAAAGCCCTTTCCCTAGAATTAAATTTTTGATGAAATACTTATTAATTAGTAGATTTCTGTTCAAAGGGAAATAACTCATTTTTTAAAAGATTTTTAAAAGACAAAATTACATTTTGGATTTTTTTCCTTTTCTTTGGTAAATTGTTTGAAGAATTTAGTGATAGGTTTGTTTGTCATTCTTGAAGATTGATTTGATAATTAGTATATAGATTTATCATGACAAGTTACAGATCAAGTTGGAATTTTGTTCCAGTCTGATAATTTTGTGCAGAGTTATGGTTTTGGACATAGAAAATTCACTTAAATAATCAGTTTTCAACAGTTTTTTCATCATGCTTGAAGATTTTGACTTGATATTTTTATGTAGTTTACACCATGACATGTTATAGATCAAGTTAGAATTTCGTTCCATTATAATGAATTTGTAACCAGTAGGGGACTATGTATTGCCATGCAATACTCACAGAATGCTTGTTTTAATTGAAATCCTTTTGCATGCCATCACCACAAGAAATAAAAGTCTACTTGATTAAAAATTACTGCCTGTACTTTTCCTTTTGTGAAAAAAAAAATGTGTTGTTTTTTATCGGTTATTTTTATTTTTTTTACTCCAGCCAGATTATGAATTGAAATGCTTGAATAAATTTGAGTGCAATGCCTTCCCTAATACAAATAAATAATGACATCATACAACTGTACATTTCATATTTAAGTTGTCTTTCTTTGGTCAAACAACAATGTTTAGAATTTGTTTCATTCATACCTTAAGCAGTCTCAGTTATGCTACTAGTTTCTACCAATCATAACACACATTTAACTTCCAATTTCTTTAGAATATGCAGTTCATCAGTAATGTTTATAAAAATCATGAAAAAAAAACAAAAACTTCAGGTTGTTTGCATTGATGTTTGTTTGGAATTTAGAAAACTGCTACCCAACAAAAAAAGTTTTTTCTAGTTTTATGAATTTAATCACTTTTGAGTTCTATCAAGATTAAATGGTTGCAAGAATATTTGTTGATTGTGTCAGTTGTTAGGTTGGTGGTTTTTTTTTCAGTTTACATTTAATTATTTTTTTAGGTGTGTAGTGCTATTCAGAATCAGGACTTCACCCTGATAGATGATTACATCACAGGATTGAAGACACTTCTCTATCTGAAGAGTATTGATGAGTTACATGACTGGGATGGACAGAGTCCTCCAACAATCAAACACCAACTAGGAAAACCTGTACCTAAATTAGCAGATATTCTAGGAAAGGTTGGTATTCCTCAATAATCAAACACCAACTAGGAAAACCTGTACCTAAATTAGCAGATATTCTAGGAAAGGTTGGTATTCCTCAATAATCAAACACCAACTAGGAAAACCTGTACCTAAATTAGCAGATATTCTAGGAAAGGTTGGTATTCCTCAATAATCAAACACCAACTAGGAAAACCTGTACCTAAATTAGCAGATATTCTAGGAAAGGTTGGTATTCCTCAATAATCAAACACCAACTAGGAAAACCTGTACATAAATTAGCAGATATTCTAGGAAAGGTTGGTATTCCTCAACAGTTTAAAAAGTATTTAAAGAAAACCTGAAGCAGACTTTTATATAAAGACAGAATCGGTTTTTGAACATACAATATATAGAACTGTTAAGTTAGACACTACAGATGATTGCAAATTTCAATATATTAATTTATTTTCCCAATTAAGCAAGTTATAGCTGGAAACATAGATTTAAGAAGTCTTTTTAAATTCTCACTATATAACTGTATAGCTATTAATTTTTACAATACTTTGTTTTATTTTGTGGTTAGCTTCAGGAAAAGTCTGCCAAAAATTTATACCAACTTTTATTGGTATTTTAAAAAAAATTTGGATCTAGTTGATTTAATAATGATTAAAAAGTAAATCATGTTAATACAGAGCATGCTCTTAGTACATGTAATTGTAGCAGACGACAGTCAACTATATTGTTGAGTTTGAAGATCAATTATTAATAAGTTTTCTTCTATATTGATTAAAAAATCACTCGTCTTTTATTTTTAAATATTGGTATAAATATACTGAGTGCCGTATGTTTGGGGTGTAACAATGATGTGTTTACTTCATTTGACATACTTCCTTCTCTTCTCACTACACAATAGCAAAATGTTACTTTAATGAAAAGATTAAATGGACTTTTCTATGATTTAGTGAGTGGATAAATAAGTGATGTGAACTAGACTAAGTCCTCATACCCATAACATCTATAACAATCACTATAAATAAAGGCAACTGTAGTATACCGCTGTTCGAAACTCATAAATAGATAGAGATAAAAACAAATCTGGGTTACAAACTAAAACTGAGGGAAACGCATCAAATATAAGAGGAGAACAACGACACAACAAAAACACAACATTAAAATGTAACACACACAGAAACGAACTATAATATAACAATGGCCATTTTCCTGACTTGGTACAGGACATTTTAAGAAAAAAATGGTGGGTTGAACCTGGTTTTGTGGCATGCCAAACCTCCCGCTTTTATGGCAACGTCAAACACAACACCAAAACTACAACATCACATGACAGGACCACAATACAAATAAATGGGAGAACATACAGGACAAAGAAACACACGAATAATAGCTAACAAAAGGTACTAGGCTTAAAATTCAATACGCCAGACGTGCGTCTCGTCCACACAAGACCAACCAGTGACACTCAGATGAAAAAAGTTTGAAAGCCAAAACAAGTACAAAGCTGAAGAGCACCGAGGACCAAAACTTCCAAAAAGTTGCGCCTAACACGGCCAGGGTTTTTGCCTGGGACAAGAACATCCTTATTATTTAGAATAATTTATAATTTTGCAAACAGTAAATTTTATAAAATGACTATATAATAGATATACATGATAAAACCGAAGTGGGGACTAACTACAGAATAAAAAACAGATACATTACATAAAACAACTTAATCCAACACATAAAAATACACAGCCGAGTTAGCCAAAGCCTAAACGCACAAAGTGATGTCACATTTGAAATTCTAAAAAAACACACAAAGTGAAGTCACATTTGAATTCGTAAAAATATTTCCCAAAAAAAAGATAGGATTAGGATTGATTCAAGATAAAATTTGTAATACTGACATTACATTTATTAATAACAATGAAAATTACAATACTTATTTATATCAAATTGTGGTAGTAATTAGATAATTAATTGTATTATCTAGATATGTCTGTGTTTCTTCTGAATCAAACTGTAAACCAAATATATCGTATAAATTTCGTTGAACCAAACTATGATTGTTTGTTTTACAGCACTTACCATCCTTTGGACCACACAAGTATGATTGTTTGTTTTACAGCACTTACCATCCTTTGGACCACACAAGTATGATTGTTTGTTTTACAGCACTTACTATCCTTTGGACCACCCAAGTATGATTGTTTGTTTTACAGCAATTACCGTCCTTTGGACCACACAAGTATGATTGTTTGTTTTACAGCACTTACCGTCCTTTGGACCACACAAGTATGATTGTTTGTTTTACAGCACTTACCATCCTTTGGTCCACACAAGTATGATTGTTTTTTTTACAGCACTTACCATCCTTTGGACCATATAAGTATGATTGTTTGTTTTACAGCACTTACCATCCTTTGGACCATATAAGAAGAAGAAGCAGGCGGTAATAGCAGACCATTTTAAGAAATCTGATCTTTTGAGCGATGAGAACAAACCAGAATTGTTACGTCCACCACTGGAACCAAAGAAACCAGTTCTTGCTATCAAGGTTAGTGTGTAATGGATAAATGTTTTAACTGTTTTAAAAAAACATTGCTTTGTTTAGTTAACATGTTATTTTAAAATTATCATTTACAAATCAAATCCAAAAACTATTCTCATAGTTTTTAAAGGCAGTGCTTTAATGCCTTTCTGGTTGCCGGGTTAATCCTTCCTTCCGCAATATCCAACTTATCTACGTGGGGGGTCATTAGGCTCCAAGTAGATCCGGAAATGTTGAATTCTCTCCTCTTCTTATTGTGATATAAAATGTTTTTTGTTTCATTTCATTTACATTGGGAAATAGAGAAACGATCATTGTGTTTTGTTAGTTTTAAAAACTTTTGATATATTTGTATTTTGCATTATAAGCAGTCAACTGATTGACCAACTAGAATTATTTAAATCCCGTGTGGAAAGAGGTCGGGTTAATTTCGAGTGTTATCTGCAATCTAGATGTTTATAAATCATTTCAGTCGTTGATATAATAATTAAAGGTCGACTGAACATGAATTATATTATAAAATTTAAAGCGCATTTCTGTTTATGCACGTGAACCCGTCTAACGTTATTGTTATGTCGCAGTTATATAAAGTAGCAAATTATCGTTCCTGAATAGGTGGCGCCGTGGTAGCCGATCCTGTTCCTCAACTTCCGGTTTCTGCACTGTGCAACTATTTCAGTTACATTTTTATTTAACGATGCCAAGTACTTGTTGTTGTGTACCTGGATGTCATTTAAGAGGAGGACATGCATTTCCAAATGACTTAAAAAGAAGGAAAAGTTGGATCCACGCCATGGCCCATACGCAGATTGGACGAGAACACGATGAAATCGTGGAGTCCATCTCAATCAGCTGTTGTTTGCAAGGCACATTTTACTGAAAAAGACTACGTGCAGGAAACTATTCATGGTAAAACTCTATTTTCTTTTTGAAATATATAGTTATATATGTAATCGCCATGCGAATAAACAAAGTCTGTTTACAACCGCAATTATCGTTTTAGAATAAAAGGGGGTGGTTAATTCAAGACGTCATAATTTTTTGAATTACGATTCAATGTGATCTGTTTGAGATTTTTTGGTGATTGCTACAATTATAATGATTTCTTACAAGAGGTATATCATACTGAGAATTATTTTAGCAGTAATTATGCTAATGTAGTAATGACAGGAATGCATAAGCTATGCCTCATAGACTTTCTTGAAAAATATCAATGACAATGTTAACAGGAACAAATCAATGACATGCTCTCATCTATATTATAGTTATTTAGGTACAAACAATGTACACTTGTTGCATAAGTCTCTCATTGTTTGTCCTTTGGATTTACATAACATACATTGAATCAGGCAAACATAGTTTTATCCAGATTGTAATGAATAAATCTAGTTAATATTTCGCCAGGTAATACAAAGTAAATATTGCTAATGGAAGTTCATTTAATTATCAAAAAACTAATGTTTTATAACCTTTTTCAGGGCGCAAACCCACCATACAGAGACTTAAGTCTACTGCCATTCCCAGCCTATTTTCCTGGACCAAGCAAGAGACTGAATCGTCCACAAAAAGAAAAATCAGGGCAGTTTCCTGTGAAAACAAAAGAACTAAACTTGATGAATATTGTAGTAGAAATCTAGAGGAAAGTTTTGATTGTAAAGTTGGTTTTCCTGAAGAAGTCATTCATACTGCAGAAAGGATTTATGACTGTCCACCACCAACTGCCGAGCTAATGTTGAGCTTCACAGATGGAATAACGCAAACACCATCAATGCCTATGTTTTCAGCAGAGAATTTTGAAATGAAGACACGTGACACAGCCATGCATTTTTATACCGGTTTAGAGTTGTATACTAAATTTTTATTTGTTTTGACCACACTTGGTCCAGCGGCACATTGTTTGAGATACATATATTTTCAAATTGATAGGGTGTCAGTTGAAAATCAGTTTTTTTATGACTTTGATGAAATTGAGGCATTATACAACCAACTTTGAACTTTCTAGATTCTAGATTGAATCTAGTGTTAAGAATATTGTGTATACATGGATTGTTTTTATGTCTAAACAGTGGTGTGAGACTAACACTTGGCCATCTAGTGGTTTAGTCAGGTATTTTTCGCCATCCAATTGCAACTTCAAATTAAAGTTTCCTACGACTTGGATTATTATTGACAGCACAGAATATCCCGTGATAAAACCTAAAGCTCCTAGAGCTCAGGCAACCTTTTCATCATATACAATGTAAAAACAGAAACACTGAAAATACTTGTATGTTCGACACCTGGTGGTTTAGTCAACTATGTCTCTAATGCATAAATGTATGTTGGTTCTACCAGTGACTATGAAATAGTTGAAAGATGTAGAATAGTTCAATTATGTGATCCAGGTGACAGTGTGATGGCAGACAAAGGTTTAAATGTGCAAGATTTGTTTGTAACTTTTTTAAAAAAAAAGAAACAGAATTAGTTCCAAAACTCTTATACGGGATAGAAAAGTCTCCAATTAACATGTGCACATAGAGCGAATTATTGGACTTGGCAAAACATACAAAATTCTAATAAATCCTATGAATGGAACTGAAACAAAACTTTCATCTGAAATAACATTTAGTTGTTTTATGTTGTGTAATTTTAGAACTTGTATAATATTGTGCCAAAGGATGCATAAATAAAAGTGACGCAATGAATTTTGTTCTGATATATATATAATTATAATTACATGCACATGTAAATTGTAATGCATATAAAAATAAGGAGATGTGGTATGATATTCAGTGAGTTTATCGAACTAAAGTGCATAAGAAATGGGTTTAAGCAGTTACAGGTGTTACTGTCACCGTACAATCTCGGAGATTCTCCAACAATGAGAAAAACTTGTACCGTGTAAAAAATTTCAGAAATCTTACCACTAAGTTTTGTTGTCTCACCTTGACTTGGGTGAATTTTTTATATCTGTTGATGTAAATATAAAAAAGAAGATGTGGTATGATTGCCAATGAGACAACTCTCCACAAGAGACCAAATGACACAGAAATTAACAGCTATAGGTCACAGTACGGCCTTCAACAATGAACAAAGCCCATACCGCACAGTCAGCTATAAAAGGCCCTGAAATGACAATGTAAAACAATTCAAACAGGAAAACTAACGGCCTAATTTATGTACAAAAAATGAACGAATATAACAAATATGCAACACATAAACAAACAACAACCACTGAATTACAGGCTCCTGACTTGGGACAGGCACATACATGTACATACAGAATGTGTCGGGGTTAAACATGTTAGCGGGATCCCAACCCTCCCCCTAACCTGGGACAGTGGTGTAACAGTACAATATAAGAACTATAAAAATCAGTTGAAAGAGGCTTAACTCATCAGATGGATAAATACAAATACAAGTGGACGTGGTCGGGTAGTTGTACATCCAAACAACAAAAAGACACTAAGTACAGATCTGAGAGTACTCACAGTTACTGACAGCTAGTTCAAAGCCACTAACAACTGATAAAAAAATCTTGCATCTAAGACTAAATTATCAATCCGTAAGCTCCCTTTAGAACTTTATAAATTTTAGATTTTACATTTCTGAGTTATGGGGTTTTATTCATTAAAAAAGGGGGGATTTTCCAGTTTTTGTCGAGCCTGCGACTTTTGTCGCAGAAAGCTTGACATAGGGATAGTGATGTGGCGGCGGCGTTAGCTAACTTCTTAAAAGCTTTATATTTTAAAAGGTGGAAGACCTGGATGCTTCATACTTTGTATATGGATGCCTCATGTTACGAAGTTTCCGTCAGCCACATGTCCAATGTCCTTGACCTCATTTTCATGGTTCAGTGACTACTTGAAAAAAAAGTTAACGTTTTTTGTAATGTTAAATTCTCTATTATTATAAGTAGTAGGATAACTATATTTGGTATGTGCGTACCTTGCAAGGTCCTCATGCCCGTCAGACAGTTTTCACTTGACCTCGACCACATTTCATGGATCAGTGAACAAGGTTAAGTTTTGGTGGTCAAGTCCATATCTCAGATACTATAAGCAATAGGTCAAGTATATTCGGTGTATGGAAGGACTGTAAGGTGTACATGTCCAACTGGCAGGTGTCATCTGATCTTGACCTCATTTTCATGGTTCAGTGGTTATAGTTAAGTTTTTGTGTTTTGGTCTGTTTTTCTTATACTGTATGCAATAGGTCTACTATATTTGGTGTATGGAATGATTGTAAGGTGTACATGTCTAGATGGCAGGTCTCATTTGACCTTGACCTCATTTTCATGGTTCAGTGGTCAAAGTTAAGATTTTGAGTTTTGGTTTTTTTTTCTAATACTATATGCAATAGGTCAACTATATTTGGTGTATGGAAATATTTTATGATCTATATGTCAGTTGCGCAGGTTTTATTTGACCTTGACCTCATTTTCACAGTTCATTGCTCAGGGTTAAGTTTTTGTGTTTTGGTCTGTTTTTAAACTATAAGCAATAGGTCAACTATATTTGTTATATGGAAGAATTGTTAGCTGTACATGCCTGCCTGGCATGGTTCATCTGACCTTGACCTCATTTTCATGGTACATTGGTCAATGTTTAGTTTTCTTGGTTAATGTTAAGTTTATGTGACAGTTGTAATAAAGCTTTATATTAAGGACTATCAACATGATATCAGTGATTAGTAAAGAAGGCGAGACATTTCATCGTGTGCACTCTTGTTGGACAACAACTCAAAAATGCTTTAAGCAGTTCGCATGAAACTTTGGTGAATTATTTATAGCTATTGATGTAATCTCCCTATAGATTTTCATAAATTTCAAATATGACATTGAGAAGAAATTGAACTTTATATTTGTTTATAGTCTGGCAACAGATTTATTAAGTATTGCGCAACAGCACAGTGTATTGCACAACAGCAAGAAATCTTTAATTGAATATAAATTCAATTCATATAACCGATTTCAAGTTCTTTGACTACATTTATGCAGAAACTATAATATGTCAAATATTTAATTACAATCCAAATTCAGACCTGTATCAAGCTTGAATATTGTGTCCATTTTTGCCCCAACTGTTCAGGGTTGGACCTCTGCGGGTGTATCCAGCTGCGCTCAGCGAATCAGTTTATTTCTTAATTAAGAACTCCTTTTTTCATTCATAAATTACTTTAAACTTGGAAATATAATTTTGCTTGGAGTTATAGTTTCTAAAAAAAGTATTGTCATTGAAAGAGTTGACATGTTGCAATGTACATTTATTCTACATAGTTCTATGGTACCAAATCAAAAGTTTATATAAAAGAAAGAAGTCAAAGGTTTCCCATCAAAGTTTAGTTACATACATTTTTTTTGTACCTGATGTCGTTGAATATAGATCATTATATATATATAAATAAGGAGATGTGTTATGATTGCCAATGAAACAACTATCATCCATACTTAACAGTAACAAACCACATTTGCAAAGTACAGTTGATAACATTTACTTATTACTAAAAAGAAAATGCCTAACTATTTTAAACAGTATTTGAATATCAATTATATGGTCATTTTTATAAACTTCCTGTTACAAAACTTTGAATTTTTCGAAAAAACTAAGGATTTTCTTATCTAAGGAATAGATTACCTTAGCCGTATTTGGCACAAATTTTTGGAATTTTGGGTCCTCAATGCTCTTCAACTTTGTACTTGTTTGGCTTTATAACTATTTTGATCTGAGCGTCACTGATGAGTCTTATGTAGACAAAACGCGCGTCTGGCGTATTAAATTGTAATCCTGGTACCTTTGATAACTAATTTGACTATAAACATAGATAAAAAAAGGTACAAACTGGACATAATGCACTAGTTCATAAACAAGTGAGAACAATTGCCTTCATATAGTGCTCAAAATATGACATTCATATAACTTGTTCAATATCATTAGAGAACTCTAAATCTTAAATACTGAAAGCCACCTCTGACAAGTACACTGTACTATGCAAGATAATGATATAACTGGACTAAAAATACACACAACCTGTAATTAACTGCCTTTACAGCGCTTTCACGCTTTGATTATATAAATATGTATGTAAACCATTTAAACCTACATGACCTAGATTACCATAAAGATCACAAATTCCAATGTGTTAAAAAATGAAAAATGATGCTGTCAAATTGATTATTCACAAAAATATTAGTTTACTAGTTTCAGATATCTTACACATTTTTCTATGGATATAAATCAATAAGCCACAAAAAGTACCCAAACAAAAGTACACATTTACAATTAAATTGAACCTGTTTTAACTAATCTCATTGTGTCAGACAGAATCAGGTTAGAACTGAAAGTTTTGTAGTAATTTAACTTTTTCAACAAAAGACATCCAACTTTTCAATAACAAAAGGAACTTAGGTTAGACAGAATTTTTCTCTAGATGCTTGATCAAATGAATAAGGATTTACAAGTAAGACTCATCACATAAGGATAGTTTTACCTCATTAGGACTGCATTTACATATGTCCTGCATTTTTGAAGATAAAATGAAGCAAAACTATTAGAAGTCAACACTTATTAGAAAAGTCATATGAGGAACAGTAGTTTGTTAAGTTTTATAGGGGAGACAACTTAAGTTTTCTCCCCTATAAAAGTAAAAAGAAAAAGACTTAGTTATCTCCCATTGTTTCTTCATAGATAATTGACCTTAAACATTTCTCTTTCAACTTGCATGCATTTGTACAGTATATAATATACTTTATAGTAATTATTGTATATTTTCCAGGATATAATAGGGAAGGCCTTACCAATGATTGGGACTTATGGTCAGTTGGACAACACACAACAGGTTGTGGCCTTGATTGATGAGGTCAGTGTTTAAATGTTTATCTTGTGTTGATATTTGTACAAAATAATGGTAAAACAGATTTTTTGATATCTAAAAATTACATGATTTGTATCTGTTTTGTCAATTAGCTGGAAATTGAATCATTTCAAATTATTTAAACATGCCAGATGTTCATCTTCCAGACAATAGTCAAGAACCTTGACAGTGACTGTCTTTTGTTATATCTTACTGGTTTTTTGATTGTCTTTTTGTAAGCTCCTAGAAAAATCCTAAAAGATTTGTTGCAACCAAATGTTGGTAGTTATATATGTTTGGTCCTCTTTAACAATTGTTGTTAACCACAACTGCTTCTAACCTTGATTGCCACTTTACTAAATATAGAAAATTTGTCTAATGTAGAAAATGTTGAAAGCTTTTGAAAAGATCATTTTCTTTACAATCTTTGGGTAAGGTTAAATGACTACAACCATCATCAAATATAGTCATTACTGTTATTAAAAAAATAGAAAAAATACTATTAAAAATTCATTAAAACATTATGAAAAATCTGGTAAAGTGACAGTTGCTACAATTTTTGGGAAATGAATGATTTGTGATCCTATTAAGAATCCTGACTGCTAACAAACATCTCCATTACTTTTATATGCCCATAGCCAGAGCAAATCTGAAAAATCCTGTTCAGGCCAATTTGATTCCAGATTTGATGGGAATTAAAGCATTTATTTGAAAAAAAATCTTTGTAAAACAGTCCTAACCATTATTAAACATGGTTGCAACCATTACTGAAAATATAAAATTTGACACACAATTATTTGGAATTTTGAAGCACCTGTAAAGGTCCAATCTCTCTTGACTTTCTGAGGAGATGAAAGAAAGTTATTATTGTGTTATGTCATTTTTTAAAATCATCTGAATTTTTCAATAAGATTTCATCATGTTCTTTGAAGTTGCCACTTAAAAACTATTTAGTGATATTTAAATGGTTTGAATTTGTAGGAGATGTGCATTAACTGTGGCAAATGTTACATGACATGTAATGATTCAGGCTACCAGTCCATCAAGTTTGATCCAGAAACACATCTTCCAACTGTTACTGAGGATTGTACAGGTTAGTATTTATTTAGGTACAAGATAAAAATAAAAATTTGGTGTAAGGTTACAAAAAATAATGTAAATTTTATTGCTTCTTTACTGTAGTTCTAATGAATAGTTCCAACACAGATTTTATAGAAACATAGTTCAGTGAATTGACATGATTTCTAGCTACCATTACATATTTCTTTCCTATAATGTTATCAATAAATACAGTACCATTTCATTATAAGTTGTTTGCTTTGAGCATAATGAAGGGTAATGCAGAAATGTTACATTTTGAGAAAAAAATGTATGTATTTATATAACTGCAAGTCCTTTCCCAAGGTATCACAGACATATCTTAATAGATTACTTACGGTATGCATACCTTAATGGAAAATATAGTTATATTAATGATAATGTAAGGGTTCAACATAAATAATCATATTACATTTCAAATGAATATTTAGACATCGTACTAAAAAATACTAATTTTTATGCTGTTTCTAAAGTTTGCCATAGAAATCAGAATTTTACCATAATAGTATACTGACATTTAAATAATCACATGGTCAGTGGTAATAAAGATATTGTGATTACAAAGTCACACAAATTAAACTATGTGATGCCAAAATTAAATTATTTATTAAGTAAAAAAGAAATATTTCTTTTAGGATGTACTTTGTGTTTGTCTGTCTGTCCGATCATCGACTGTATCACCATGGTCAAGAGGACAACACCCTACCTACCCAAGAGAGGAATCCCCATTCAGACAGGCTTCAATCCCATGCCAGCTGTTTTGTTGGAAACCAACTAGACTATGTTTTATCAGTTTAAGATGACCAGAACTATATTCATTGCAGATGACAATGGGTAGAGGGGATTGTTTGTATATATAAGCTATAGGGAAAGTATCGACTTGACATCATATAATATAACTTTTTTTATGCCCCCGCCGTAGCATTGGTGGCATTAATTTTTACCCTTGTCCGTCTGTACATACATACGTACGTACAAACGTACGTCCCAAAATTGGTTTCCATTCTCTAACTTAAGTTTGCCTCAACCGAATTTTATGAAACTTATACACAATACTTATTACCACAAAACACAGATCAAGTTTGAATTTTGGTGGCGTCACTTTAACCTTCTAGAGTTATGCTCCTTTTGAAATGGAAACATTGCAAAATTTTTAGTTTCCGTTCTCTAACTTAAGATTGCCTCAACCAAATGTTATGAAACTTATACACAATGCTTATTACTACATAATACAGATTATGTACGAAATTTGGTGGCGACACTTTTACCATTCTTGAGTTATGTCCCTTTATAAACATAAAAATTGCTGAATTTTTCGTTTCTGTTCTCTAACTTTAGTTTGTCTCAACCAAATGTTATAACACTTATACACAACTGTTCTAGAGTTATGCGTGTTTACAAATAAAAAAATTGCTGAATTTTTAGTTTCTGTTCTCTACTTAAGTTAGCCTCAACCAAATGTTATGAAACCTACACACAATGCTTATTACCACAAAACTTGGATCAAGTTCAAATTTGGGTAGCGTCACTTTTACCGTTCTTCAGTTATGTCCCTTTATAAGTATATGATATGCAAGCGGGGGCATCATCTGTGTCCACATGTGGACACTATCCACATTTATTTGGATGTTATTTCCCAAACTTATTTTCATATTTTTTACCAATACAGACACTTTCCTCATATTCTATTGATAATCATGCTAAAAGGTTTATTCTTAGATACTATGCAATGAAAAGAAGTAATGTACATTTTACTTCTTATTCACTTCAAAAAATTGTTGGAGGCAGCCATAAACACTATAACATCAACATGTTTTTGCCTTTTTAATGTACTTTTCTGCTTTGATACTTTCTCATATCAACAGCTGATAATTTCTTTCTATAAACATATCAGTGTTTTATAATTCGCCATTTCAGAATCTAATGGATTATGGGTCAATTTTATTGTTCATACCCAAAAATTAAAATAGTGTAACATGGTTGAATTTCCATTGGTTAGGATGTTATAAGTCAGTCACAACATTTTTGTGAATGCTTTTTTAAATATTACCGAGGATTCATTAAATTCTGAAACGGCAAATGATATTTTTGCAAATATGTAGTTCACAAAACAGGGTTATAATCTTTTATAGTCACAATGTAATATTCTTTGTCAACAGAATTTTCAGGGGGAATATCTAAATTGTTTTTTTCATTTATACAATTGTTATACATTTTATACTTTTTTTTTTTCCTTGTCTCTTAATCTGTTAGGACTGTTTCAGACAATTTAGAAGAGACAACTGACAAAGGTGCTCACTTACATATGAATCTTTATGCATCTGAATGTGCTCACTATGACAGTTAAAGCCAAAATGGTAAAATTGTAGATATTTTATTTACTATTTCAGAATTCTACTCTGGTTTGTTATGAATATACCAGTGAGCGATAAAGCCTTGCTATAGTTGAAATTAAATAAGATAGTTTCAATGTAGATCTACCAAGATTGCTACTTTTACCCTTATTTCCCAGATTGCATCAGTTTCATTCAGTATGATGTCTGGCTAGCTCAGCATAGTATACTAAAGATAAGACCTAAGAACATTGCCAAAAAGATAACAATAAAAACATATTGCTACAAAAATTAACTGTCAATACTAAGATAAAATGGGTTATGCCATTGAGAAATCAAAGAAAAATTGATAAATTGTCACAATAAAACATAACTACATTGTAATTATAAAAGTAAGATAGCAGCTTATGATTGGAAAGTCGGTTACAAAATATTTCATTTTTTTTTTCATTTTATGATTATTTTTTAGTTAAACTATACATGCCTTTAGAATAGATTATTGTATTAAAAATGATTAACTTTGTTAATTTTATGATGAAATATGTTTTATATATTAAATTTATATTGTGATGAACATTTTGTTATATTAAGATCATATATATTTCTACTCAAATTAGATCTACATATAGTTTTTGTTATAATTTACAAGAATTTCAGGTACCACTATGATAACAATCAGTGAAATCTATGAATTATTATGTGATTCTACTAAAAATCTATATGTTAGTATCATATATATGTTCTTATAATATATTTGTTATTCTGAGATTTAAATTATGGTGATGTATGATAAAAAAACCTAGTCATTGTTGACCTTTGTTTGCTTCTAATACTTGTTGGTAGGTTAACTGTGGACTTGATTACAGTAATTGTTTTCTTTTTTTCAAGTTTGTTTTAGTTTTCTTTTCCCTTTTCACCCCTGTAATGAGTATTTTCAAGTTATTTTGCTTGAAAGTTAATTGTGCAATAACATATTCAGGAATATATACCTAAATATCTCTATCGGTATTATCAATCCTAGTCACAAACTACCTTTTTGTTAAGTTAAAAGATGAGTTTTTGATTTTGCAAATACTTATTCCTTATAGTAATAATCCAGCAGACTTATACCATGACACTCAAAAATATTGATGAATTTTGCATAATATTCAAGTTCAGCATATTATTTTTTGTTGGCTTTGTTTATATACATGTGAAATAAAAACATTTGATATATTTACTTTGTAAAGAAAAAAAGGTTAATGTGGTATTTGTAGTAAACTTATTTAGAAAGTTATCAGACAGACACATATCAAATATTCTGGTTTTTCAGATTGTTGTACAACTTTTTTTTAATGATATTTGTATTTATTCTCATGAAATTTTATATCCAACAAGCATCATCTGAAATTTAATAAATTAAGCTCAATTTGCTCTTAAAAATTATTTGTTATTAACATGTGAGAGCAGATTTTCTGTTTTGCTAGTTTACTGAGAATTTATTTGGATAAACATTTCCCTAAGCTATCAGTCATTATGATAGGTAAGATGTAATGGTAAAATTCATTGTATCCCAATACTTACATGTTAAATTAAGTAAAATTAGGTGACCAATTAACTAATAATTAAACCAATAAAAACTATTTTCATTCATAATACTTAAAAAGAGAGAGTTACATTTAGTGATAATATACCTCAAATAGGACAGGTACATGTGAGTACTCAATGTTATTTCACTTATGTCAAGAGGTAAGATCATACTGCAGTTATCATTATTATGTAAGTAAACTATTACATGTACTGTTACAATTATTCATTGGAAACCAATTTTTGAGGATTTCGTGGGAACAGGTGAACCACGAATTTGATCGTTCAACGAATTGTAAATGTTCTATAGGGTTGTATGCAGACTTTGGCAAAACCATGAAATCAAATATCCACGAAATTGCAGGTTTTTCTCAATCCACGAAAATTGGTACCCACGAAAACAAATGAATCCACAGTAACAATTATTTTTAATCATCATGTTACAAATAACAGAGCTTTTACTGATATCTGTATAGTATTTCAATGATTATTATAACTTTAGTTGTATAACAGCTGCTGTATGAAGAGATCACATTTGATAGAGATTAAAATGATAGTTCATTGTAGACTTGTGCATGCAATTGTATCCTATATGATTGATAAGGTCAGAACAGTTAATTATTATTATATACTAGAGGTTCACTAAATAACAATCCCTATTATTATATAAGGAATTATTTGTTGGGTTTATATATCTTTATTTAGTCATATTTTGTTTTGTTTTTGTTTTGTTTTATAGATACTACCAGTTAACATTACATATACACTTAATGTCTATTGTAATATTGATATATTGCATGAATTATATAGATACTACCAGTTAACATTACATATACACTTAATGTCTATTGTAATATTGATATATTGCATGAATTATATAGATACTACCAGTTAACATTACATATACACTTAATGTCTATTGTAATATTGATATATTGCATGAATTATATAGATACTACCAGTTAACATTACATATACACTTAATGTCTATTGTAATATTGATATATTGCATGAATTATATAGATACTACCAGTTAACATTACATATACACTTAATGTCTATTGTAATATTGATATATTGCATGAATTATATAGATACTACCAGTTAACATTACATATACACTTAATGTGTATTGTAATATTGATATATTGCATGAATTATATAGATACTACCAGTTAACATTACATATACACTTAATGTCTATTGTAATATTGATATATTGCATGAATTATATAGATACTACCAGTTAACATTACATATACACTTAATGTCTATTGTAATATTGATATATTGCATGAATTATATAGATACTACCAGTTAACATTACATATACACTTAATGTCTATTGTAATATTGATATATTGCATGAATTATATAGATATTACCAGTTAACATTACATATACACTTAATGTCTATTGTAATATTGATATATTGCATGAATTATATAGATACTACCAGTTAACATTACATATACACTTAATGTCTATTGTAATATTGATATATTGCATGAATTATATACAATAAACAGAATGCACTTTGGTCATTTTCTTCTTAATAAGAAAAAAGTAGATGTTGGGTGTATCTAAATAACGAGATAGCAACCAAACAAGACAATATAAATCAAAAGACATGAAGATGTCCATATATGGTTTTCCCTGAAAGACCAGTTTAAATACTATATATTACCCAAAAGACATGTAGCGGTTAACATATGGTTTTCAGTGAAAAACAAGTTGAATAACCATATTTCCAGTTCTAAACCACTCAGTTGAGTCAAGATGTGACTGAATTTTACTAGCCGCTTATCTTTCAAAGCACTTGAGCTGACCCCTATTTATTAGTCGGGATTCAATTTGTGTTGCTCAATCTTCAGTTTTATGTGATGTATTTTGTGGACTGTTAATCAATTATTTTCTAGCAATGTTGTCCGTCTTTATTTTAAGGCTGTTTTTTATTTATCAAATTTTATATATTGTCGTGTGAGTGTTATAATGATGTATTTCCTATTTTTGTAAATGTTGGGAAATTTAAAAGAATTTTTAAAGCGCAATATCATAATATATGACTGAGATATAGAAAGTTATGTAGAAATCAAATTTATGGACATAAATAGTAACTCTTTTTTTCGATTGTTTTTCGGCTAGACAAACTTGAATGAGTTCTGGAGATCAAACAAACAATGTTATTTCTATTGGGGATTGGATTTTGGAATATCCCTTATTCTGAATTGCTTGAAATTTATGAAGGACTCAAATTTATGGACATAAAGAGTAACTCTTTTTTTGATTGTTTTCGACTAGACAAACTTAAATGAGTTCTGGAGATAATTATCAAAATTGGACATAGAACAGTACGAGACTCGCATGACTAACATTTTTACTAAGAAATTTCATCAACACTAAGTTCTTTGATTTTCAAGAAAAACACAAAGATATTAACATTGTATAAAACTTATAAAATTCATGACATTTGTGAAGTACATGGACTAGATTGGTTTAACTAGTTTGTGAGTACTCAACTCTCTCCATTTATTTATTGACCTATTGATAGAACTGGACGATTATGCCAAAAGATGTAAAATAACTTTAGATGTTTATACTATGATATTGACAACAAAAACTATAAAATAAATTAATTCACAAGTATAATATAACATTTTTGATATACTCAATGTAACTATTTTGTTTGAGAGAGCAACGAAATCAATTCAAAGCCGCATGCTAAAAATCAGAGCGACAAATAAGATGCAACAATAGTATATCCATGTTCGAAAGTTGTATTTCCAATTGTAATATACAATTGAATAGATTGTATAAGAAAAAATGGAAGAATTGCATGAACCTCAAACGGAGTGAGACCAGATGCTTCAACATAATAAGCGTCTTCTGCTATGAATGCATCACCCGACAGCAAATCCCAACTAAGAAAATGAAATGAAATAAGGACGCTGTCGGTAAATTAACTCATCGGAGATACCAGGCTTAAACATTTTGTACACCAAACGCGCGTTTCGTCTACAAAAGACTCATCAGTGCAATAGAATAAAAAAAGCAGATAAGATTACAATTCTGGTATATTACTTATACCAGGGAAACATGTCCCTCGTAAATTTAGATGCAGACATGTCATATCAGTATATCAAATTGAAATGGTGATCGTAAAACTTGTTTAGTTTTGATTTCAGCTGTTTTCCTCATTTTGTTAGTAGCAGACCCTTGTTAATGAAGTCCGTATAATTTTAGAACCGTCAGTGTACACTGAAAATTTTCGTCAATCTTTTCTCGGCTTCTATGGAAGCGAATAATTTCATATTTGGTCTTGAGCTTGAAAATGTTAAGTTGTAACCATTTTTTACACCTGCCGTACCGCCACTTCCTATTTACCATTTGTTTGAAATTTTACCATACTCAATGTACAAGAAAATTTTCATCCGTAATATTACATTAATGAAAGTATTTTATTCAAGTCCAACTGAACATAGTCTTAAAATAATTTTCGTTAACTATGCATCAGCACACATGCTCCCCTCAATATATTGCTTTCACCGACGCAGGTCCTGACCCGGTATTGGTTTTTTGTCCTGTTTAGGCCTTTTCGATTTTACATTTCAAACGCTATATATTGCTTCCAAAATTTTTGGTCTCTATTGTACCCAACAAAGTGCCTGAAGTTACCTTCACTCATCACCCAGTGCTTCGATAGTAATTTAAATTTGCTCCCCAAACATTTAATCTCGAGCGTAACTGATGATTTTTGTTCCATATAAATATGTGTCATGCATAAAGTTCACATAACAGAGGTCAGTATCCAAAACAATATCTAGGACACAATACCATAAACACTGTGCCTTCTTCTACCCTTTCGTTTCAAAAATGTCAACGATTCAAGTTTGTTTTAGTAAACTGTGAAGATATGTCAACAATGTCAGCATGTAATTGAATTTCCAAAAATAAGAGAACAAAGGTGTTTTAAACTATCTTCAATTATGATCATATATAAATATATCACAAAATGTCTCTTTTAAATACAAATGTATATATATCACAGGTAATATCACAGATTTAAAAATAAATAAAAATTAGCAATTAGTAAAGTATTATCTTGTTGGCAATTCACGGATATAGCGTAATAACTTTCTGTTTTACAACCAAAGAACCATTTGGGATTTTTACATTTAAATTGAGTAAAATGTTAAATTCTGATGTCCACATGTACTATTCAAATTTGCAGTGTTCAAAGACATTTTGATCCCTTCGCTCTTAGCCACGACTTCGAACACAAGAGTGGTTTCTTGCGAAAATTTCCAAAAAGTAGAAACCACAATCTTGGAGTTCGTTAATAGCAACAGATAGATGCAATTCAGATATAAAATTGTGGTCTTGTTCAGGGGACAATAATTTTTAGTGTATAAACTAATATTTTTATGATACTCTTTTGTGTCGGAAACGTAATAAAGTATAACATTAAAACCACCATACTACATCTTTCATTGATGTATGATATTCGTTGCTAGCAAACAATAACTAAGACCATTTTGGATTTGTTAACATTGAGATTCTTGTTAGAATAGTAAGGACATGTTTTACATGTGAGAGACTAACAATTCCTTTTCTCAACTAATTCCGTATGCCAAACTTGCCGCTGTGATAGATGCAAAAAACAATTAAAAACGAATGCATACTAAGAACCTAGTTCCAATGTTAACATTGTTACTGAAAATTCATAAATTTCTAGATGTGCGGGGCATCTTATTGACTTGAATCACTGACATGTATATATTTTACATACTACAAAAATAAATAACTATATAAAATGTAACAACATTAAAAATCAAAAAGTATGATAAAGATAACTTCCCTGGTTCTTTAGACACTCTCATTTATATATAAAATCTACAAGGACGGAGATAAGACTAACATTCATACAAAATGTCAGGGTATGCAGAATGGTTCATATAAATTTGGCAACTAAAACATAGTCATGTTAACATATCATTCTTTGTTAAGCTTTGTACCAACGATATCTGTTTCCTAGATGGTCAAGGAATTTGAAAATATCTACTTGGTCACGTTGGTTTTTATACTCCTGTGCAAGGCGCACAATTACGTCATAAGGAATGTCCATGTGAGCGTACTTATTGAATTCCATCGTCTTATCAATCATTACTTGGTAAGGTATTAAGCCTAAAACAAGAGTACATTATTATCTGATGTTCATTTTTCATTTGATATATAACTTTATATGCTCTTATTCTATTATAGCTGTATAGAGTGGAGGTAAAAAAAACTAGTTTAACCCCGCCACATGCAGTTATGCTTGTTAAACGTCATTAGCCTGGTCAGTGGTTGCGTTTAGTAATTTTGTTGTTTTTCTGGTAACAAATATAGTAGTTTATGGCAGGATTTGGCAGTCTCTGTTAAATTTCATTACAACTTTTCTAGACTTAGGACTATTTTGAGCTCGACATATGGTGTAATCACTTTTGTATTGTAGATGGTATGTTGGCCTTAAGACATCTTTTGTTTTGTTATATTTTTTTTTCTTTTGTTTCGTGTCCAGGACTTCTATCTCATTGATTTTTTCCCTAAATCTTCTTTAATTAATAATTACCTTCGGATTTTCCTCTCTGCTCATCTATAGCGTAAAGTTGTCCACTAAGTTTTAACAGTTTATCTGACCAGTTGTATCCCTTTTCGCTGACCTCCATACCTTCCCTCATTATCTGTAAACATGTAACAATTGTTTAAGCATACATGTAAAGTTAAGAATTATTCATAAATAGAACACATATATTTTAAAGATTTATTTGAAAACTCAAATAAGAAACTCCAATTAAGTCAAAACACAAGAATTATTATTTAATGAATCTTCTTTGACTATCGCCACTTTTCTTCAAGAAAAGTTATAAATAGATGCGTTAAAGGCGTTTACGTCAAAATATGAATAAGAAAGGTGCATAGGTCATAACATCTAAATTCTTACCACACCCAAAACATAACTTGTCCTACAAAAATAGTCCATTCTAATGCCGAGCCTTTAAGGAAACTCAACACCCAACACCACATGCTGTATATATACTATCTAATTTATTGAAAAAAAATATCAAGCCATATATGTGTGACCATGGCAAATTTTCACTAAACAAGAAATGCTCGTTCCTCCTATGTAAATTCATTTATTGACCGTCATGATTAAAAAAAAAGAAACAAACGAAAACAAGTATTGGCTGTTGGTGCAATACAATTGGTATCGTATATGATATTACTACCACCGGGACGATGACACTACTGGTGGACTGTTAAAATCCCGAGGTATCACCAGCCCAATAGTTAGTACTTCGGAACTGGCATAAAAATACGGATATTGTTTTATTAAAATCGGTTGTTTTAAGATTATGGAAATCATTTAATTTTAGGAATTTACCTTTCAAATGCATATCTCTGATACCTTGACCGGGTTTGGCTATACATATGATGTTGTTTTTTTCATTTTTTTACCAGCTCTTCACCGTTTCAAATAGGTTTTAATTTTCAAATATTTTGTCCACAAACATTTAAAATTGTCGAAATGCTTAACTGGTGAAGTAAAATGTGCATCGTTAATATCATTGATGAACATTTTTTAAAAATACATAATTTGTTTCATATCAACAAAAAACCTTTAAATTGTTTGGTTTTTTATTTTGTTGTGAATTAGAAAAAAATATTGACAATTATTTACGTTTGCATATAAAATTGTTTGGCCTTTTCGACTGTTTATATTTCACCAGTGCTAATACAACAATGACAAAACAAGTGTGCTTTAAACAGATGTACCATATTACAACAGCAAAAAACAATGTGCAGTATTTATATACCTGGCCTTTTGTGTCTCGATAGAAAAAATCCTACGACAAATCAGTTTTAATACATGAGAATATTCAAAGACTATACACTAGGATCAAAGTAACATTAATAAGATATAAATCAAATAAAAATAATTAGACTAATGACAAAAAAAATCTATTAACTGAATTGCAAAGAAATGCATTTTTAATTAAAAAGAGTTAATGAGCTTGACTTTTAAAAATGAAAAGGTTATGTACGATTTATAAGTACTATCAATTCTCTTGATATTTACATACAATTCAAAGTCATTATGTAGTTATTTACTATAGAAATAATTAGTAGATTGATGTTAGTGCTCTGTGAATCTAGAATGTCTGTCATCTCTTTGAACAACTTCTGTTCACATAGTTCCTAGACTTGGGTTGTTTAGTACGATAGAAATGTATTATTTTTGGAAACTGTACGGATAGTTCAAAGACTGGGGTTGTGTAGCATTAACTAAATATATTATTATTTTTGGAAACTGTTAACTATATGTTCTGATGTATTTTTGTCTTTATCTTTTATAAGGTGTACCGGGGAAAATTCGTGCATCGCACCAACACGGCAAACTTTTATTAAATACCTTTCCTGGTCTGTCCATATATGGCTGTTTGTGAAATAAATGGAATTTATTGTTATTAAGTTTATAGTTAAAGTCTGTTGTATATCGTGGATATTGCTTTGTGCTTTACACTGGTTCAGAAGCAGAATTCCTGTAAATATTTGTGTTGGTTTACAGAAAATGTGCAAGTCCTTCACCAAATGAAACAGAGCATGGTTCCCAAAAAGCCTAAAAACTAAGAAGATAAACACAAGAAAAACTGAAAATAGTCGATTATAAGTCTGTATGGATGATACATCAAATTAATAGGTGAAAGGGATTGATATCAATATAAAATTTGTAAAGGCTGTATGAGCGTAAATATATAAATAACAAACGAATAGTTGGCACAGCAAACAGTGTATACCATGAATTTCAAAGTGTATGTATCCGAAAGAATTTGTTAATAAGTAGAAAGTATTGTTCTTTTAAACATCACATTTCTTTTTAGCAGAAATGGTAAATAGCTGTTAACCTATCTTGAATCGTATTTGATAAATATCTCCAATCGTCCATAATATCAAAGTTTTATATTAACAAAACAGAGTTGATCAACTTGAAACCTTCAATTGTGTTGATTTATATATTTTTGGGAAAACATTCATTTTTAACAATAGATACTGGAATACTGAAAATTGAAAATATCTATGTTTACTGTATGTTTGATAAATAATAAGAGATAGGGCAAAAAGGTATTTAAACTTGTAAGATCTACAAACTAAATAAATGATCAACTTATAAACATAAGGTTTCATTATAGAGCACATGTTCACCAAAACTTATTTCGATTCACACACAGTGGAATCACATGCACATTTTTCGTCTACACATGAACAAACCTGTTGTTGTAGTGAAACCTACAATCTGAAAGAACATTTACAAAAAACCTTGAGAGTATGTTGACTATAAACTGTATTTCCGTTTATCCACAAACAATATGCTTATAAGAACTAACCACAAGGACAAGTTGAAATCAACCTATAAACTGTGCATGTGTACATCAAACATCATCGATCAGGTAAACAGAAGAAAAACCTCTAAACGGCGTGATTAGAAATTATGGGAGCAACAGCCCAAAACAGAAAGCAGAACAGTCATATTATGTATGAACACAACGAAAAAACGTAAAGGACAAAGTGATATACATGTACTATAAGCGAGGTCAACCGTTATGCTTAAAGGACAATTCCTCGAACAAGGTGATATCAAGGGCAAGTAAAAGGGACGCATATACATTAACACATTATATATTATCAACAAAACAGAAATAAATAGATATGAAGATGTGTTAGTAATTGAATGTGGTAATCGATGTATCAGACCAAATTGTCTTTATTTAAAAAAATTTACAATAGCCACACTACTTTACAAAGCATTTTAAAAATAAAGTATATATCAACAATAAGTATTGCTGCTCTATTTATACTTTTTGATGCATTACAATTTCCTAAGATTATTAACGCTACATAATAGAGGAATAAGCCTGGAGTATATATCTTTTTTATCTAATTAAAACGTGCATAATAATAATCTACATCTAGCAAGAAACACATAAACATAACTATTAAAGAGAATATTTTTTTTGTATTTTTTACTGTATCTAATAAAAACAATATACAATAGTTTACACTACAAAATATAGGAATGGTAAAAGTTTTAATTTGAGAAAGATACACATATATGTCTCGCTTGCTTCACAAGAACTCTTGATCACATGATTGGCTGCAATATAACTGGATGTATTCCAGTTTGTAAATGTTACCAAGTACGCCTACAATAACTGGTTTAGAAAAACATACGAATGAACGACGTAACTACATGAAATGGAGCAGGGAAAGACTTATAAGACTAAGACGTCATAATTTAAAAAAACAGAGTTTTCCAAATATCAATGGTGTATAATCAATTGAATAGGACGACATTCGAGATAATGGCCCATGGGATAACTTTCTAATGAAACACTGGACAAAAACAATATCTCAAGTGAACTCTACTTTTGTTGTATTCCTCAATTTAGTCCTAACAAGAAGAAATTTTACCGATGTAAAAACTCGATAGTCACTGTACTGTGTCTGTTTTTAGATTTGACTAAAGAGAAGGAACTTGATATTCTGTTTGAAACAGACATGCATGAATGATAAAGCAAAGTCATGACAAATTTAACATTTCATCAATGTATAAAAATTAAGTCATTGAAGTTTAAGTGATAGGCTGGTGTCTTTTATCCAGCCTTAAATTGAAATTAATATATTATTATACAATGGTATACCAAATAAACGTAATTTGATGTGATGACTTCTTAACAAAACAAATATATAATTTGATCAGTGATAAAACTTCAAAATAAAATTAGCATGACTCAGAACGGGTCCCATATACTGCAGGTAAATTGAGGAGATAGTACGAAATGGACCTTAACAAAATACAACATTCTGGTGGCAACGACAAAGTAACACCTATGTCCAGGTATGCAACATTCAGTGCAAGCCAGTCGAAAAAAGATCATACTTTGTACAAATTTTCCAGTATTGTATCATTTCACAACACTCAAACAAAGCTATATATATATATATCAGATACATTCTATTCACTAATAGGATAACATAGAAGCATAGCTGTACAACATTTGCATTGGTTACCTGGTTTGTAATTTTAATATCATCAATTGTGTTCCGGGTCTTGCTTATTTGGTCCAAAATACGTTTTTCCTTATTTTCCTTATCTATACCGTTTTGTGGTTGTGATTCCTATTGGCACAATAACTTCAATTAATATCTTAAAAACCCAAAATACCGGAAGACAATGGTATTTTAAAAAGTAGGAGGAAACTGGCATCATTTAAAAAACAAGAAAAAGAAAGAAAAAACCCACAAGATCAGATTATGTATTTAAACCAAATACGAGGCAACTAAGTGTTACAAAAATATTTAGGATCTAACTATACATAAATATAACCATATGTAAAATCAGTATTTATAGAAAGCTCAAAATGGGTAAATCAGCATGGTTTATATGTAATTCGGAAAATCAACGTGGACAGTGCGTTAATATTTCTATATAAAAAGCTATAAAATTATCTAATATTAGTATATGAAACCAATATAATTCAGGCGGTGATTGAATTACCTGATCCTTAAATTTTAGTTCATATATTTCGTCTTCTATTTGATTTATTTTTTCTTTTACTCGTCGTTCCCGTTCAGTTTCAGATTCATGGTAATGAACTGGTGACGGTGAACGGTCCTATATTATAAAATGCATGTCTGATGTTAGACAACAAAATGCAAAGTGGCAGTAAATTATTCTATCTTTATTTACTACAAAAAGTCAAAGATAGTATAATATTGTGTTTATTGAAGAATTGTCAATGTTACTTTTCCAATAAGCTTCATCTAAAAACTCTGTTAGAAATAGCAAACTTTCGCAAACTCTAAGTACAAAATAGTTTTATTTTACAATTTCGTAGTCTGTTATAAAAACAATACTCATAACTGAAAATGAAGGGTTAGTTATTGCTAGAAAACGCTATGATTAAAGGTAGACAATAATACACATGAAATTATATGCATGATTAAAAATGAATAAGCACCAAAGATAAGCCCAACTGATAGCTAAGAATGAAAATATTTTTAGAAATTTAGATTAGTCTAGACTGAATAGAAAGATATAATTTGAACAGTTTCTGATACCTTATTTTTATGCTTTATATCGTAAATTTCGTCTTCCGTTTTTCTCATTTTTTCTAAAATTCGTCTTTCTCTTTCTGTTTGAGGATCTTCCCGATAAGAGTTGTAGCCCTATTCGCAAAAATGTTCAGATGAAATATATAAAAATGCTCTCTTTATCGGCATAGTGTGTCTGATGATTCATACAATGCAATTTAAACTAAATTTGATTAAAAAAAAGAAAATGGTTTATTTTGCAAGGGTTAGTCAAATGCTTGACAATGAATTAATGGTAAATGAAAATGGAAAATATCCATTTACCTTATATCTATGCTTTAACCCATTTATTGCTTCTTCCGTTTTTCTCAATTTTTCTAACATTCTTCTTTCCCTTTCAGTTAAGGGTGGATCTCGATAATCATTCGAGTCGTAGCCCTATTTATAATATGTTTCATTTAATATTTTCGAAACAAAATTAAACAGTTTCATTCATGTGAAATTCTATCAGGGGTAAAAAGGACCACATCTGTTTATTTCAATGGCATCTTCTTCCACCCACAATACAAAATCCCGACAAGAATAATGTTTGCACGGTTCCTACCATGCATGCTATTTTAGCACTTGATTGCATAGCATACAAAATAAGTAAAAGATTATACTGGTAATTTCGGTTAAGTAATAAAAAATCTTTTCTAACGGGAAAAAACATCAATAACAAGCTTAAGACCAACTTCCTTGGCTAATAATTTTATCTTCATTAAAATTTTAACTTATTCGGAATAGGAAAATTCATCTGGGGTTAAATAAGGAAATAAAGTATGCAATAAGTTTGATTAATCCAAATATTGTTCAACAGATGCATCTTGGAATATATTAGTAGCTTAGCATGAAATATAAATACGTGATAAAAGGATTTATAATGGTAAAGTCATTATTGGTCATGCAGTTTTTATTTACATGTATGGTCATTAATACTTTATTCCTGTTTATTTAGTGCATGTATGTAGTGAGATACATGTTATACATGCAGCAAAAGAAACTATTTCATGAAAACCATAAAAAATATTTGGAAAACAAAAACATCTGTGCATTGCAAACAAAAATCCCAGTGGGTGATTCAGTGCTCATTTAACCCTTCACCATAAATGGATAATGATGCCATGTAGTCCTCTTTGCCCCGACTATCAGAAATATGTAACAGTGACACTAAAAACTTGAGGTAATACTATTACGTTTTATCATTGTATTTCCAAAAAAACGAAAATACAATTATTATGACATTTTGTCACATAGAGGTATATTTCACAGATACAAAAAATGGCATAATTGTCAATTTATAATTATAGTTAAGACAATATTGTGTATGCTAGTCAGTTTCATGTTTACAATATTATATAATTGATGAAATATATTCTATTGAATACAAAGAGTAACAGAGAAGAACTAAAAGTGCGAAGAAAGATTTTTTTTTGAAGTTTACGTGTTTATAACTAATGCATGTTTTTTTTTTTAACTCCGATAGTTGTTTTCTTTATATCAAATATGGGAAGAGGACAGACTTACGTTTCTGTTAGATGGTGGAGGTGATTCTCTAGGTGACTCCTTTGCCCTTGGCCAACTGTCATGAGGAGGTGGGTATTGTTTGGCGTACTCTAAAGGTCGTTTACTTTGTGGAATTGGTAAACCTGTTTGTACTGATTGAACTTTCTCCAGAAAGCTAAGGAACTGTTGCCAACTAAAATAAACAACTTATTCTTACTGTTTTGCATTAAGTGAAATTGATTTTTTTCTAGATTGTCATTGTAGGGTTTTTTTTACTGTCTTTGGTTTAAACTGTTACACGATGAACTCTAAAATACCAAAACGAATTTATCGACCTGGCGTTTGTATTGGTTCACTGATACAAATCATTTCACATGAGAATAGTTGCTGCTGCTGAACTCTTATAAAGAAACAACGGCGAAGACGTAAAAACAATTTATTTTGCTCTATCTTGGTGGCTTGTCGTTTCATTGATATATGCTCCTTTTCCATATTCATAATGTTATGGTTCGAAATAACAATTTATTTTTTCATAATTAATATGACTAAACTGAACTCGAAGGACAATGATTAGGTCGCATTGTGATGAGTTTTAAACTTACTATTTTGTAAATTGAAAATAAACAGCACCCATTTCCTCCAACTTATAAAGCAGCTATTTTGTTTGAAATTGACAACCCTTAAAATAATTTGGATCAGAACATAAAATATAACATAGAATAGATGATGTACAATATATGTATACATACGATGGTGAGGAATTTGAAAGTCTTTATTGACAATTCAATCATTGTTTTAGGAGGAGCTGCGGACAACTTTTCCAAATACATGTATAGCAATATCATGACACATTCTGAAAGAAGATCTTTATTTGAACGGAATAACTAACAGTACGTCTACAATTGCAAATATTTCATTTGTATACCACCAAATTACATACTTGTATTGTCCGTTGGACTGTTGGAATTTGTGAAGTATGTGGTCTAACAAAGAATCTTGTAATGGGACTCTGTTCTGATATAAAACATCACTAATCTACAAATAAAATACAACGTGAGAAATCGGATCACAAAAGGTTTTTTTATTTTAAAATAACTTATCTTTTTGCTATTTTCCCCCCTTTCAATTTTTGAATTTAAAAAAAAAGAAAGAAAAGAAAATATAAAAAGAAACACTTATAACAGACAAACATATTGGCAATCATACATCCTCTCCTTATTTTTTATATAGTCATCATTATGTTATAGGTGAGTTTAGATATTTTTAGTGTTTGTTTGTCTTTTCGTAGTTATTCATTTTTTGCAATGATTTTGTCAATCTCTTCCACTTGTAAATTCTGATTACTTCTTTGCTATCTTCCGCCTCTTTTTACACTGTGTGTGTGGTGATGGAAGAGCGAGAGACTAACCTTTACATGAAACAATTTCTTGTTCATATAATTAAACAATTATCAATACAAGCTTTCTGTTTGAATCTCAGATGGTCAAACAGGTATTATTCATCAGTAATTACAATTTTTTGTGACAACTACATTGTAGTTTCCAAATCGTGCATTTGTCTCATCTCTGACCTGTGATTCTGATATTGAATAGTTTCCTTATCAGAAACCACCGTAACAAGTTTCGTAAAGATTGAGGTAAGTGGTCTAAAGTGTTTAAAAGGTGGCATAGACACAGATGCATGTATTCAGACATATTAACAAAACGCGTAGTTGTTATCCGTTCGACAAACTTATTACAATGTCATAAAAGCCACAAAATACCTTTTTTTCTCAACTGCATAATACTTTATCGATATTGTTTTTTTATTTATTTTATATTTCTCTGAGGTGATTCTATTTGAGCATAGTAATCACTTTCTACTAACCTGAGCCTTTGATAATGTTTCCCTCTTATTATCTACAGACTGGAAATCTCTATAAAGTCTCTCTATATCAAGGCGATATCCGGTTTCATTTAAAGCATCGTGCACCATCCTGAGTAATTTTGCTGTTTCTTTTTCCTTGAAAGGCTCTAAACCATGCAGACTGATAATAAATAAAATCTTATCACTTACAAATTTATTTCATTTTCGTTAAATATATATAATTATTTCACGAAACAATCATTAATTTAATTGATTTAATTATGAAGTATATATATTTGTTATACGAAAATGTATGAGGGGTTTTTCTCCCAATAAATACACCATTTTACTTCTCTTATTTATTATGTTTTCAAATCACATTTGTATAATGTAAAGCAAATATAGTTGAGAAGTAAGTAAGTCTTTTGTAAAACGCCAAAGTACAACATCAATCAATATTAGCAACATGGAACAAAAAAATATCTAATGAAAAAGAACACTACACTAAAAACAACAAGCAGAACAAGATTATAGATAACCCCAGAATACATGTATAGTATACTTTTTTGAAAGATTTTTTGTTCATAACAGCCTTTTAGATTTTCATTTGAAAGAAATGATAGATCGTATATGTATACTTAAAAATAAATTAAAAATAAAAATCTTATTAAATTAATCTGAATCTAAAATTTTCTTTGCCATTCATGTATATCTGATATTCGTTAAAACCTACAAAACAACCACGTACAATCACATAAAAACATACAACATAACCACATTCAAATAAAACATTCAACACTAACACATAAAAACACTAACAAACAATTATTTTCGCTAATCTTATTAATAGTAAATCTAGCATTATATCAGTAAACTGATTCCGAGCTTGTCCATAGCAGCGAACTTGTTCGGTCGTCGGATTATTGATAAAAGCTGCTTTAAAACAATTACATTACAGAACCGTTGGTTTTGGAAACAGTAACAAAATAGCAATCCTCACAATTAATTCAAACGACTATTCGACGGAAATCCAATGCAAATAGGTGCAATGACAGACAATGTGTTTCACACGTGTTGCTCACAGACAAGCTCGAATCAACTTACGAAGAGTTATTTTGCTGAGATGAATTGTAGTATTTAGAATTTCCGTACCCGTCTTGAGTTTTAGTAAACCTGTAAATTAAATATTACAAATGTGTTATATTGTGTTGATTTATATAAGACGCATGCCATATAAGCTGTATATAATGTAAAGGTATGGAAATATGGAGAAATGATCTGGTTAGAATATAATGATTTGCCTACATGTAAGTAACTATATGTATACTGGAAAACAATTCTTGAAATTGACATTAAAGAATAAAATAAATATCTATACTGGATCAAAAGTTTTGAAATTGACATTGAAGAATAAAAATATGTGTGCAGAATTTGTAACTAAATTGTGATATGTATGATAGATTTGACAAAAACATACCGTTTACTACAAAATAAAACATTTGTTTATTAAACAATTAAATTCTTTAAAAAAAAACAAACAGTAACGACAATTACACTACATTTTTCAATTAAAAAACTAAAATCTACAGCATTCATAACATTTATTTTTGTTGACATACTTGAATATTTCACTTTAGCAAAACCAATTGAAATAGCCTGAACAATATCGGTGTGATCGATTAACTTGTATGAAAACAAAGGAATTAAAGCTAAAACATATTCTTGAAAGGATAAAAATGCGATGTAACAATAATATTACTTACAAATCTGGATAATTTCTTTTCATAGCATATTCTATAAACTTCAATATTTTTTCGTAGTTCACTTGGCCAGGTATACTAGGGTCTATAAACATAGATGCAATAAGTCTAAGTGTATCTGGATGAGGTGCAGCCTGTAATATAGAAGTTCATACCCATAATTCAAGAATACTACGTATTTTTTTGTCAAATTACATAATAAGCTTATAGAAACGATATAAAATGAAAAACAAAAGAGTTCACAATAGTTTTTATGTTTTTACGTGTTTGTTGTTTTACAGATACTTTAGTAAAGGTTAAGTCTCCATATTCAAGGGTCTGTCCCAGACCAGAAATCTAGTCGGAATGATTTTCAAAGTTTTATTTGTGTGTGAGTTATTGTTTTGTATATGGAGAATTTTGAATTGGGGTCTGGTAGTTGGTAATTTTAGTTGAATTTATTCACAACTTGTCTAGACTCAGGACTGATTAAGAGCTTTTCATACAGGTGTGGGGGCTCGTCCCGGATTGCTTTTGACCGTATAATGCCTCTTGGTGATTTTTGTCAACGCAAGTTGCTAGTATTGTTGGCATATTGAAGTTTAATTCCTTCTTTTCTTGGTGTTCACACTTTTTTTTTAAATACTTTGAAATTATGACTTTCTTTAATTTAGATGTTTCAGTAGTTTTCGTTATGGATTTTGTTCTTTGTTTTTTACTTTATCATTTGGCATCTGAAATAATCCTTATCCGTTGCTTCCATAATCTTTAAAATATTCTTCACTATTTTTACATTTCCATGTAATGACTCTTTGGCCTTCACCCGAATTCAAAACTCCTATTTTTCTGTATATTTATTTCAAAACCCGAGTTGGATTGTATGCATGTTTCATATAAAAACCGTTTTTCTATTCCTACTTACGTTTTGAGACAATAAGCTCTGATTCACTCTGTCAAACGAACACCAACCCATAAACTGTTTATCGAATTTCGTTGCTTCAATGTAAGCGTTGTATAATCTATCTGGTTGAATGTGACTCAATTCGTCTCCTATGATTTTGACTAACAAATCTTCATCGGCTGCTGAAAACATGGCGGAATCAGATGGTAATTTGTATGTATCGTATCTGTCTGTAGGTAGATATCTTTGAAGTAGGAATTCTCTTTCGCCGGATGCCCCGTAGTTCCCGTTATCACTTTGTGCTTTTCTTGGAGGCATAAAATGTGCGTCTGATTGGAAATTCATTTTGAAATTGTTCTCTGAATGATAACCGTTTAAAGGTCGATCACTGAGCGGTCGATCAAGGTATGAATATTTGTACTCTGTGTCGTTGGCTAGCTTTGGTGATTCTCCTCTTCTTATCCAGGGTTCACTCTCAAAAACTGTGCTCATCTGATTCTTGTTCCTATTAGCTCGAATCGGTGGCAGGTTATTATATGGCGATAGCGTTTTGGAGTCTGGTCGTGTTCTATTTGCAAAAGTTGGTTTACCGTGTAAGTTTGATGAAAAGTTATCCTGTAAAAATACATACAAGTAAGAGCTCTCATCAAGTGTAGGCAACTTTTTTTTTATGATGTGACTGGTAAGATCATGGTTTTGGTTTTTGCAGGTCAAGAGTTTTCATCTGAACTACTAGTATCTAAAGTTCTTATTATTCATATTTAATTATATTTAGTCCGATATTACATTCTTAGTGACTTCGTTAACTTGTAGTTACAATTGATTTAGACATGTTAACCTCTCCCCTTTTCCTCAAATTTAAACTCTGGTATCAACAGAATCATAGTCAAGAGAATAAAAAATATGAAATCCAAGACATATTTAGGTAGAATATATCGTTTCAAAAAGTACTAGATACCATGCTGATGTCGTTATAATTTTCCCCTAGTTATTGTTTGGTTACATGTTAACTGTTTTAAGAAACAGTGGCAGTTGTTATCAAATAAAATTGAGAATGGAAATGGGGAATGTGTCAAAAAGACAACAACCCGACCATAGAGTAGTCCATTTCTATTTATGTTGGAGTTTGTTTTTGTTGCAGTTCATTTTTTTCCTCTAATAGATGATGTGTTTCCCTCGGTTTTGATTTGTGACCAGGATTTGTTTTCGCATAATCGATTTATCGACTATTGAACAACGGTATACTACTGTTACCTTTATTTAACCCACGAGTAGGTTTTTTCATTTTTAAAATTATATGTTTTATTGCTGGTCTTTTGTAAATGTCTTCGGGCCAGACAAACATCATTTCAGAATAGATAACTTAAAACTGAACACAATTGGTTAGTGTTGGAACTTATGTAATGAATGTTCTCCTTGTTATCTTATCACTAACCATGTTAAAGCTCAAACAGATCAACCCATAAGTAAAATACGTCTACTTTCTACGTGATTAATAAGAAAATATCAATATATATAAAAAAAAAAACAAATTATATAAATTAGAAAGAGGGGTGCTAATGATAACATTTAAAAATTTGCAAAAGGATTGTTTGTGGAATATGTTACATTTTTTATTGATCATGCTATACCGAGGTGATTATTTACATACAATAGAAGCTGATATATGAGGGCTATGAATACGACTAGGTATTCTAAATCTAACATGTGGGTTTTCCTACCTCTTCGTTTTCTTTATTGTTTGGTGAATACTAAGAAAAACAAACAGATATAAATACTGGGAAATGTTTTCATATAGCAATGTTTTTGTCTTTTGTTGTTTGTTATACTGATAATTCTATAATGATGTAAATGCTTATTTTCAAAAAAACTTTCTTTATTGTACGTTCGTTAGCTTCTCTCAACAATAAAAGAGAAATGTTGAGAACCCAAAATATGTTTATTACTGTTTACTAATTATATAAATTACTTCGTCCTTTTAAGAGTTTGTTGGTGGTTTGGCATGCCACAAAACCAGGTTCCACCCACCATTTTTTTTCTTAAAATATCCTGTACCAAGTCAGGAAAATGGCCATTGTTATATTATAGTTCGTTTCTGTGTGTGTTACATTTTAACGTTGTGTTTTTTGTTGTGTCGTTGCTCTCCTCTTATATTTGATGCGTTTCCCGTAGTTTTAGTTTGTGACCCGAATTCGTTTTTATCTCTATCGATTTATGAGTTTCGAACAGCGGTATACTACTGTTGCCTTTATTGGTGATGTTGAATTCACTAACAACTTATTTATACTGAATGATGTACAGCAATAGAGCTTAGCTGTTAGTCCTTTGTTTAAGTCTGCCTATTTGAAATAGGTCTGTATCAAAACAGTTCAATCCATGCTTAGTTCCAGAGTTTTGGTTCATACAACAAAACGTTTATGTAAAATCAATATACTTAAAATTCTACAGAAATGTATATGTTACAACGTTTCTGATGAATAAACATCTATATTTGTATTAATATAATACTATTTAAACAAATTCTAATGACTAACGACTATAAATCTAACTATCAAGTTTTTATTCAATCTTTTGTGCTCTACCATCGTCTGTTGTAAACATATAACTCCATTCTACGGTGAAAGCTCATGTCTATTAGAACCAAACTTTACCAAGATCATTGTATAACAATAAGAAGTGGTATGATTGCCAAGTAGATAACTCTCAAGCAGAAACCAAATGACGAAGAAGCAACTATAGATCACCGTAAGGCCTTCAACAATGAGCAAAACTCATATCGCATAGCAAGCTATTAAAGCCCCAGAAATGAAAAATGTAAAACAATTCAAACGAAAAATATAACGGCCTGATTTAGGAATAAAAAAAACCCTAAAAAGCCATACGTTATACTACATTATTAATTACACTCAGGGGAAGGTGCCCTTTCGGTGAAATCGTAATAGTTACACCCTACGATCCGGGACATTAAACTATTTTCGCCGGAATATTTTTGGATGATCAATTGTCATTTATACATTGAAAAATCCTTCACAGGCATTAGAATATTCGGAGTAGTATATTAAACAACATCTCCTCTCGAAACAAACAGGACAATTTAAATACGTTTGACCTGGATTATCACAAAGGTGTATAGTCCGAAGACGCGATTTTCAACTAGACAAAATTGTCTTACATTACTGTTACGCAAAAATGAGTAAATATCTTATTCATACATGTTATATGTGAGGGATAACAGTTCTTCTAGGCCTTCAGTAAAAAAATGCATATTAGTCTTGGTTAAATGGAAAGGTAAGGTCAAAAAAAGAAATCCCCACTTGTATAAAAACAAATGGTATTAATCTCAAATGAAAGAATGTGGTCTTCTTAAAGCTGCAGAAATATAAAAACGGAAGCAGGAACATAACCCATTGAAAAGAAACTTCTTTAGTCTTCTCTGTTGTGTTTTGTGTACTATTGTTTGTCTGTTTGTCTGTTTCTTTTTTAGCCATGGCGTTGTCAGTTTATTTTCGACTGATCAGTTTGAATGTCCTATTGGCATCTTTCGCCCCTCTTTCAAAGGTTTACCATACTGATAAAACCGTACAATGTATTGATAGAGATAACTAGAATAAGTGGAGACCAAATGTAATACTCATTGCCTTGTACATGTATATATTTTAAAAGAATGGTATAAATGATCATGTTTTATGGCGCCAAACCTCTCAGATGATAGTTCAGATACTCTCTGAATCACTCGAAGACTTCAGGCAACACAACACACCGATAAAAGTATGTGTATGTTAAGGAAAAGGCAGCAAAAGCAATCTTAAGTACTGAAGTTAAACATAGATAGGTTTTAAGTCACATTGATATTATGACATCATGCAAAGATGGCTAAATGCATTTTTTTTTTGTTGAAAATCCACAGTGAAGATTGATATTGGTCCTATAGCTCTATGGCATGAAAAAAAAACCATGAAGCTCTACAGAATAAACGCTCCACACTCATGCACCTAAACAGAATAAGGTATTTCTAATTAAAAATCACACCACCCAGTGCATAAATAAAATAGACAGTGAATTAAAGGTAGCAATTTTATGTAAGAAATAATTTCAGGTTTGAAAAAAATAGGAGGACTGTACTTACCAGGCGCATTAATGGCCGAAATAATCTCTAAAGAAAACAAAATATCGCTGTCATGAAGGCAAGCAATTTCAAAAAGGGAAATGAAGGGCGTTTAAGAACAATAATCTGTTAATCTTTTAAAGAAAAATTAACATTAAAGTTTTAAAAACTAACTACATCTTAAATAAGCTAACTACATATTAGTATAAATTATTTAACACTTTATCTAGTTTTAAAATGGAGGTAGGTGTGTCTTTACCCTTTGTATGCCCCTCTATCGCGGTTAAAGTTGTTAAAGTTGAATTTAAAAGTTTCAGTTCTATTATGGAACATTGATTATAAAAAGAAACATTGGAGCATTTAAATAAATTTAAAAATATTATTTCATATAGGTTTTAGATAGTCGTGTTATATCATATAACAAGTGAAATTTTACCCTCAAGTAAACATATCGTCTCACGTCAGAACAATATCAGGTATCGTTTCAAAAGAATTATTTTTATATCTTATTGTCTATATAAGGCACAGATCAAAAGTCTTCGTCTCGAATATTACAAAAATGAAATATTGTCATTATATTGTTCATTGGTCTAATACAAATGTATTTCTAAAAGAATGTCATTTTATTCTACAACGTTTTCAATGTTATATTTCGGCTTAGATGTCATTGGTCAATGCCCTAAAAACAACAAAGACTTCCATTGCACGAGTTCTTATGCAGACAAAATAGTCCTTTATAGGATTTTATTGCATTCATGAGTAAATAACATTAACACTTTATAAATTTGGTGCGTACGCTCTTGAAAATGGTTAATTGTATGGAATCTATTGATGTTTTTATATATAGAAAAAAAGCCTTGCACTCACACATACACTTAACATAAAGTATCGATTTTTATTCATTTTCTGAATTATGTGGCCGGATTTACATATCATAAAGTTCTTCAACCCGGTCTTTGATTCATTAGATAATATTTTGAAGTTAAGAGTTAATACATTGACTGCATTTTGTCATTAGTTAAATTTGTTACTGACAATATGGACGAACAGATACCTTATGTTAGGTATTTTGTCAAGAAAGCATCACTAATTTAATACAGAAATAGTTGTTATGGTACAAAAATAACATGTTATTGTCTTTCATTTTTTGTTAGAAAGCCAGTATGTTAGTTGCATACAATTATGTTTACATGAATTTGTTCTATTTGTATTTGTTTTATAATCGGGTAGTACTTTAGGAATTGATTATTCTGTCGCGATACATGCAATTCATGCTTCGTTAAACGTTCTCTATACATACCACGTTGTGTCTAAAGTATTGGAGTTCTTTCTGTCTCTGACATAGAACATTTTCAATTTCATAAGTGCGTTGACAAAAGCATTAAAAATGAAACTGCATGAATAACTTCTCTTGTAATCATTTGTTTGTGGTGCTGTGTAATTTAAAATGTATGATCGAAATAAAAGCAGACATTATGTTTTTGTTGAATTTCATATTTCGTTTAATATTCAAATGATACTTCTTTTATTTTTTCTCATAATTACAAAGAAAATGACGACAAATGATTATGCAAAGAAGAGTGCTGAATGAACATGATTGTAACGATTAATGTGGACTTAATACCACCAGTGCTATAGTGTATTATTTCGAGAAAAAGGGGGTGATTTTGCGATAAATTGTGCAAATTGTGCTTATTCATCTACCATGCTATAAACTTGCATTGTCTCCTTAAGTTTTTTTGTTAACTGTTAGCTTACGGTTTCACAATAATGCATTATAGCAAAACATTTTTAAAACGTCGTGAAAGGATAATGACGTCATGAAAATAAACATTCAAACAATGACGAAACATTATTTTCATTTTTACGGTCAAACTGTTCCATTGAAAGGGCGAATTTTCCTGCAATGAATTGATCGTATTCAATGTTCTTAATCACATTTTTTTCAGTCAAATAAAGGAACTGTAGCAGACATTCGACGAGTATATAGCATCGATGAAATTCACTCAGACATACAGAAGCTGGTACATAAAGGCTGTAAACTAAGACAAGATAATCTACGTCTAGCACGTGGTTTGCCTACCTCTCCGTATTCTATGTTGTTTGATCCAGGCTACGAAAAATAAGTATACATATAATCACATGAAGAATGTGGGGTTCGAGTTTATTCACTCTCATCATTAATTTTATATGAATGAACATGAAATGTTTAAGGTTGAATAAAAGTATAATAATATATGTATGTTACCAAATTCAGAGCAATACGACTATTGGACTCCGTTTCTTCATCATGTATGCTCAAAACACAAATTATTGGGGAACAAATAGGAGTCGTATAACTGTATGCGTGTTATTGGGTTTTTATCATGATGCCTCTAGATAAAATTGAAACTGGAAATAATCTGAACTATGACCTTTTAATGTACCTTGAAATTCAGAATATTTATTATTACTTGTTCTTGTACAAAAATATTTAGATAACTGATAGTTAATTAGTAGACTTACTCTTTGTGCGCTGAAATATCCTTTGGTTCCTTCAGCAAGTAATCTAGGGTCTATCTTAGTAGGGTTCTCTGCTATGTTCTGTATTGGAGGTACTCTTGGTCCATACCCACCAGGAGAATTCTGTCTGTCTTCACTGTAAACAGTGCCACTAAGTTACTCAAGTAAATAAACTACCTACTAGCTTGTAAGAATTTTAAAGGGAAGATTAAACAGAAAATTTGTATTTTAAGCCTTAAGCGCTCACTACTTATTTACTTTTATATATGTATACACAGTTTAATTATAATCGAGAAATTAAATGTTAAACCTGAGTGGTTGGAAAATAGATTAATGAAAGTATGTTAATGTGGTGAAAAAGAACTGGTGATCCACATATTTAACTTTTTAATCAAGGACATAAAATATAATTCCAACAAACCATGACAAAATAAACATGTCCTATAAACCAGTTCTAATTGTGTTTAATTATTCAAAACAGATTAGGCAAAACTAAGAACACTTTCAGGACGTTTAAACATTCAACAAAGTGTCGTCACTTTCTATTCCAAGTATAAATGATATTTAACCATTAGCAGCTGAGTAATAATAAATACTTTCTACATAAAAGTGTACAAATGAAAAAATTTGAGGTAGATATACCCGAGACCTCTCAAACATAGACATGGCATCGATGAATAATGAGTATCTGATAAAACAAATAAGAAGATGTGGTATGATTGCCAATGAGACAACTATTCTAAACAAGACCAAAGACAAGAATGTAAACCACTGTGAACTCACATTGTATTTAAGTTTTCTATAACTGGAACCCGTTTGCTTCCTATTATTTTGATACCAATCTGTGGTGTATGATTTGTGGCAAATGGAGCTGTGGTCGTAGTGAGATTGTTAGCACGCATGAAATCATATTCCATCCGCTCACTCTGAAAAGATAAAAAATGTTAACGTGGATAAAATTTATCATATCATATCAAATCCACTCATTCTGGTGTCACAAGTTTGACGAATAGGACATTTATCAAGTGTATATTATATTCCATTAGCTCATTAGAAAACAAAAACAATAGTTTATAGAATTGGCCGATTGGTTTAGAATAAGCTCGTTATAGAGTACAAGAGAGAGGTTGTTGCTTGGGAACAATAGTATAAAACAGTGAAGAAATAAAATTATTGAGGCTTTACTTTGTGTTTAGTCAACTACAAGTGGAACAGTGGGTTTTGAATTAAACCCCAACAAAATTTGCACTATAAAAGGTAAATGCCTATAAATTTATTGCATGGTGGTGTAAATCTTTCTTTGATTGATGGTTTTTGGTTGCCCCTTTGGTATCTTCCTACCTTTAAATTACCTACATAGTAAATAGTGTAGTATTCTAAAATCATTTTAACTAGTATAAATTGTCAAGAGGATTATCCTCACTACCGCTTAACTTCACATTATCATCTGAAAATTGTACGAGTTTTTTTTTATATAATTAAAAATATTTTTAGACACTTTTAAATTATTTTCAGTGTATTCTTTTATTATAGTTTAAGTTTAAAACTAAATACTCCGGTTGTTCCGGATGTTTCAACTAATAAACAGGTCATAGGAGACGGAGAGGTGCAAGGAGGGCACCCCACTTTCAAAAGTTGGCAAACTGTGCTCCCCACCACCCACACACATACTGATAGAACTATTAGACTATAGAAGAGGTCTTTTTTTTTGCTTATCACTTGTAAGTTTATTCCTACGCCACTGTTAACCTAAAAAGACTGTCTTTCTAGTATGACGTTTGGTGTAATCCAAACATTTTCCCATGGGAAAGTGCCTGTACTGTGGAGGAAATATAACTCTTTCTATGTCATACCTTTTTTTTAAATTTTTGACACGACCTTAACTGGAGTTTGTTATTGTATATTGCTCATCTTATTACTGTGTGTTAACAATTGAAAAAAAATCCTCTGTCAGTTAACTGAAGGTTACACATTTATTCTTAGTTATGAGCAACCTATTCCTTGGACTTCATTGAGGACAACTTAGCTGAAGGCTTCTTATCTAAAGAATTGAAAAATGCTTTCTTTCGAAACTTGATGAACTGATGAACTGTTCTTGTCAGCTAATGAGTCGTATTTGGAAATATGTGTAAGCCAAAAAAGAGAAAAGGATAGCATGATTGTGGCTCAGACAAACGGAATACGCCAGTGGTCATCTGTGACATAAATATTCCGTAACGAGCATGATGCCTTCCAAAACATTTTACAATTAACAATTATTGGTACATGTATTTAAGATAAAGGAAATTATAATTTGCTCAAAATTAATTAATTGGTTGTTGCCTAATATTAGTTGCATATTCATGATGATAATTCCATAAAAGAAAACAAACCAAAGTTCTGCACAATCTGGCAGAGCTATATTTAATGGTATGAATTTAGTAGCATTGATAGTAAAATAACAGTCTTTCTTTTGGTAACGTATGGTTGCTGTCTATCTGATGTTTACTCTACAAATTTCTTTATTTTTATAGGAATAGGAATAGAGGGATATAGAAAAACAAATTTATGTGTAGATAAAAATCATTAATTATCGGTACAGCGAATTTGAGAAGATAACATTGATTTCAAAAATTGAAAAAAAACAGTAATTAAAAAAAAAACAATCGATCAACCAATTAAGCAAAACTAGATACATAACAAAACGAAAATTAACAACCAGTAACTGTCAAAGTAATCGACTTTCGCAAGGAAATACAGTTATACGTGTATCTTATCTAAAAGAAATATACTAGGGACAACAATACCTTATTTTGTAATGTATGTCACTAACATGAAAGCTAGTAGTTTATCAAAATATAGTCGTCTATTAATTTTTTGGTCTTCAGATATTAAAAAAAAAAAAGAAATTAAACTATTTCAATTTTATGACAGCGTGAGACCAAGGTTCAAGACCACATCTAAATTGAATTAATAAATCCTTGAAAAAAAACAAATGTTTCTTAATAGTTTGGTATTCAATTGATTAAAACTTAAAATATAGTAGGCTTTAGTACGTGTCAGCAAATAAATTGGATACAGCTAATATTGTTACAAATACGGAGGAAGTACAAACGTTTCTAAGTAAATTTTTATGTCAATTTGTTTAACATATGAACGATAAATGTTGCAATATTTCGACAAAGGTTATTAAATGATTTATCATAATTTAGTTGTTAAATATTTAATCTTAAGAAATTAATATTTAGTTCCGTTGTTATGTACTAAATATTCTCTATCCAGCATTTATATAAGTTACAATGTAAAAGAGTAACAATATCATAGGTAACTCAGAGACCGTTTTTTGAATAGTTCAAGGTCTTCCTTATATTCGAAAATAAGCATTCATTGTTTTTCCTTTGAAAATATGGTCGCGTAAATTTGTCTAGCCTGTTTGACTGTACCTTTATCTTTATCTTCCCACTGTTTTACTTTGATAACAGGGCTCGTCTGTATGTGATTGGAAATAGATTAAGTATTTACATATTTGAATGTCAAAGGTGACTGTGATAAAAGTTCTGAACAATTGAAGGTGAAGATCCTGTTTTTGTAAAAGTTTTAACCAGTTCTGTACAACCACAGAAATAACAGAAAGCAGTGGAATATTTGTTTTTGAAAAATAATATGACTTGACTTCGTTCGTAAAATGAGATCATTACAGTTTGCCATTTCTGAAGGGCCTCAGTTCATCACACATTTTGATGTGGTTTGTGCTGTTCAATCTGAGGTTTTCTGTGTGGTGTTTGAGGACCGTTATTTGTCTTTTTGACCTTCATTTTTCCTTTAGTCATGGTGTTATCTTCTATCATTGTCTCTTAATTGCCTCCTTAGAAACTTCTTACTTCAGTTTAAAGGAAATTCGTTTTAAAGGGAACATATTTTCATATAATTGGAATCACTATACATCCGTTTCAAAGTCGAGCAAATTCTAAAAACATAAACAATTCTATATTTTATATTGGAAATGGAAATTTTGACAACATATAGATGTGTAACCACCTGATCTATCATTTAATATCATTAAATCAAATCAACAACCTTACAACTTCAATACTTGTACTTATGCATCCCCAAATAAAAATGCCATTCAAAATCAATATTTAGCTGAAGTATTTAATAAATACGAATTGTCAAAACCCAACTATTTAAATCGAACATTTCAAAGGGTTTTATTTAAATTCATATGGTATATCGCTTCCTTGTTGTCATTGGCTACCTATGTTGATCAATGTCAAAGTGCGGTATGGTTTAAATCGAATTCTTACAAAACTTTTAAAAGTTATTCCTACATATGTATTTCATAAATTTAAATTGTTTGTTTACTTGTAGCTTATAATTATACTATTAAAGTTTTAGTTTTTAATTTTAACTCCGAATTTGATCAATTGCATATGGGACAACATATCTTATTCTTTTAAATACAAGCCAGACTGTTTTATTGCAAGACGATACTACATTACAAGACAGTTCTAATACCTTAATCGAAGACTGATACCACTATCATCAGTGGAAAAACATGAAGACAGGATGGCTACCTAAAAACAGCACCTTATATTAAACTATAACCAAAGACAAATGCCTAAGGTTCACAAAACATTGTAAAGAAACCTATAGAATGATCACCCACTAAAAATGCGGAAATACCACAGATACCCTGAATGGTGCTAAAGCGCAAATGGGCCATGAATGTGGAAAATAGAAAGGTTTTTGATCATGATAAACCTATAAACTATGACTGACATTTCAGTAATTGGAAATTTAGTAACTATGATTTGGAAGAAAATGAATATTTAAGTTTAAGATGGAAGTCGCTCCATTTACTTTAAGATCAATGTATACATGTCTTAGTTGCAAGGTTGTTTCAAGGAGAGCTTCTCTGACAATCTGTCTGTGTGACTATTTGGGCAAGCATCGGTAAAACAGTTTGACAAGTCTTTTGTCAGAATTTTTTTTTAGAACAACAATTTATAGAATTAAATGAATTCCAAAAACGATGTGAATCAAAGACATCTTTTGATGTCATTAATTTGACGGGACGCTAACTAGACTATATGTACCTAAGCAACAGCAATGGTTAGGAGGGCAAGTACATATTTAAAAATTTCTCTTTATAACGAGTTATCGTGTGTTTAAGAATTTCGGGAAGTTGTATTATAGGATTTCGTAATGTAAAATATTAAAATAACGATAGGAAATTTGCATAGTAAGATTCATCATATCTAGATGATTAAATATATACTATCACCTTTATATCAGCTGAAATAGCAGCTACAAGCTAAGAGTTGTGATGAATTCTATGTACAAAAGAAATATTTTGTAAAGAATAATTGAAACTATCTTTAACAAAAATGCTGCAAAACACATTACACAACAATCCAAATTGCAACATGACGCAAAAGCAAAAAACTCAAAGACAAAGTACTGGATAACTCGCACACTGGATCATTACATTTAATAAAAAAACGTCAGTAAAATTAATCAAAGGAATATTTAATTGAACATAAATGAAGTATAAATTACTAGTAATGTAATAAATAATTTCTAAATATTGGTGGCTGCCTATTTTTATGTTCAGCAGGTAATGGCTCTTGCATATTCTTGAAAAGAAAACAATCGCATTTTGTAAAGTTGGCTACAATGGACGTGCATTATATCACTAACAGAAGAACGGGCAATACGGGTATAAGTAAAATGTAGCTCGGGGCAATACGGCCTTTCACAAAAAACTGAAACTGATATCATTTGCCTTGGATAGATGAAATGCTCATTAATGATTCAAGGCTTATAAATTGGTAAGCAATAGGCGCGGTTTGTCTACAAATTAAAGACTCATTGGCCAATTTCTCCATGTAACAACCGTTGTATTATTGATACATTTCTTAGGTAAACTGTTGTTTCAGATAATTCT